TCGCGGCATCAGGCTGACTTGTAGCAACTGATTCACCCCTTGGTTCTGCCTGTCTTGAGGTCTCGGCCTTGTCACGACGACGAAGTTCAGCATCTTCATTGTACCGACTCTCTTCTTCGGGTGCTGATGCCTCGGCTGCTGGTGCTTCAGGTGCTGGTGCTTTGGGTGTTGCTGCAGCGAGTTGTGGGTCTGGTGATGCTGCCCTCACGGATCCTGGTCCTCTATGGGACATGGTGTGTGTCCCTTTTGGCACGGGGACTGGCGCCTTCGCCACACTCGCCGCCTTTACCACCGCTGGTCGGAGGACTGGTGGTCTTTTCGGACATGGCGGCGGCGGTAGTACTCTGGACCCGACTGGTGCCTGGGATCTTCGATCGCTCTCTCGGGATTCCACTTCCGAATCGTATACCACCAGGCCAACATGACTGTATGTTGGAGTCGCCTTCAACCCGAACTGCTTCAAGACATAGTCCCTTGACCTCAAGGCTGCTTCCAAAGCATCATGCGACTCATGCGTGCACATCGCACATTTGCCCTTGCATGTGCCGCTCATCTGACTCCAGGAATGATCCTGGTTGGAATGCGTCAAGGTCAAGTGAGCTCTCGGGCATAGCTTGCTGAATGCCGTTGCCAACAACCAACCAAAGGATACAGATCTGTGTCTGTTCCGCCTGCAGTAGGCTATGACAGCCAGCTGTTGTCCCTTTTCATGGCAAGCCTTCAGGTGATGAAGTCCATATAGCAATGCTTCCATCGTCTTCTCGCTGCCAGTCATCCCTCGAATGATTTCCGGATGTGTACCGACATGAGATCGCAACTGCGGGTCGTGTTGAGGATCTCCAAATCCCATGCAGTCAAAGATCAACAATCGCCTCCCGGGGTCAAATTGTGCCAAGATGGGTCCCAATGTAATCAAGCTCTTGCTGCGATCAAAGCTTGCAATCTGGCCATTGAACTCCTTTCCACATGTCAGGACATGCACACAAGCAGGGTCATCCAGCGTGAAAGTGCCTCTAGTCGGGCGCTCTTCGTCAGCCATGAATGCAGTCAACTGATCTGATGGACGAATGTTGAAGCTCATGCCATAATCCGTGTTCTTTAGTTCTCGGAGTTGCTTTGGGAGTCTCTTGGACTTTAGGCTCTTGAGGCCTTCTGAGAGGTTCACACATAGAAGTCCTGAGTTCCTAGCTCTGCACAGTTCAAGTTCTGCATTTCCTACATAGCACTTGGCATCACCCATAGATTTCGTGAAATGCAATGCAGCTTGAGCATGCTGTGACAAAAGCAAGGGAATCTTCCCATCGACAACATGCGTTTCCATGACTCCCGGGAGTTTCGTCTCGGGGTCCAAAAAGGTCAAAGCAAATGGAATTCGACACTTGCCCAAAGTTTTGGTGTCTCCGGCGAGTCCTCGGAAAGCTTTTGAGTCACACTGCAAATCAGCTACATCATACCCAAGACGTGCATACTTGTCTTTGGCGTTTTGGATCCATGCTTGTCCACACACAGTTGCATTACATCCTTCATCCAACACAGCCCAGACTCCAGGGTCTTCCATGATGTCAACAAGACGAAGTGTGTTTTCAATTGTGGCTTCATTGAGATCCGACAACAGTCCCATGTAGCAAGTTTCCGGTGCGGCCTCTCTGATGACCTCCACGGCATTGGCAAGGATCTCGAACAGGACGCCAACCCTCACAGGTTCGCCAAATTCTAACTCACACTCAACCTCTTGTCGAAACATCTCCAAAACCTCTAGAGTTCCTTCAGCTGACATACATGCATCGTTGATTTCATTCTCAATCATGGATGCTGTCGTGTCGAATGCATTGGTGCGCATGCCTACCATACTCTTTGCCATTGCCTCTCTCTTATGCGCCTCTTCTCGGGGCATCTCGTCAACAGTGGTTCCACACAACTTGCAGTACCAACGAGACGTGGTTTTCGAACTGCCTCGACGATCTGTGACCTCATGCTTGCACTTTGCGGGGTCGGCCGAAGGTTTGCTTTCTTTCTTCTTTCTTTCATTCCTTCCGCAGTCAAGGCATGTCTTGTTCTCAACATAGGCATTTGAACCTTGAAATGTGAATCTGGTGCAACGACGACATGATTCCTCTAGCGGGGGGTTTGGTGGTTTTCCCTTGGCACTCTTGTCTCCAGTACGTCGAATTGCCTCTACTGGCACATCTGTCAATGGATGCTCTCTCAGGCTTACGTCTCCGTCCTGACTGACTTCATAGTACGTGGTCACCCAGGTCAGAAAATCTGCCAAACAACGCGAAGGGTGCGAAATGCCTGATCCCCATTGATAGTATCCAGGATATTTGAACAACACTTCATGGTATGTCAAACCTTGGTGCTGACCAAACACGAAGACATTCTGCGAACCTTCAGGCAACAAGTCTTGTTCCATGTCCTTCTTCCTACGCGTGACCGGCGGGGACTTCTGCGGCGACCGACGGACATTTGGCTCGACCATCGAAAAGCTAGACGGTGGACTGCTGGTCACTCCTGACGACATGGATGCACGGTCTGACGGTTCGAACTCAAGCTTCTTCTTTGGGGACATCTTGTATGCCATGTAGCACGTACCATTTTCGACAGTTTGACCACTGACGTCAACACACATGTATTCACCTTCAACAGAAGACTCATCATCACTCAATGCAAAATAGGCTGTGGCTTTACTCGTCGACGACGTTCCTCCAGGGGACTTGTCGTTCTGCTTGGGGAACTTGCAAGCTGGGTCTCCTGCCCAATGTCCTTTTCCTCCACAACGCAAGCATTTGGACACTGACTTCAACCTTGCTAGACGTGCAATCCTGTCCTGCACTCTCAACTGTGTCTTGAACACATACTTGCCTTTCCCCTTGCTCTTTCCACCTTTCTTTCCTGAACCTTTACCTTTGCCTTTGCTTTTGCCCTTCAACTGGTCAGTCACGACAAAGGCCATCATTTGATGCTGGGCTGCGCTGCCCAGTTCCTCTGAGACATCGTTCTCTTCATCATCACATTCTCCCATTGCCATCAACGCTGTGGCAACTTCAGGGTCTTCGATATAGTCTTCATGTTCTTCATCATCTGGTTCTTCATCTTCTGCTGCGACATAAGCTTCATGCTCATAGTCGTCCTCTGCTTCTGCTTCATAGGAATCTTCATAGTCCCAAGAGTCATCTTCAACAATGTACGCAGATCTTTGCCAACTGCGCCCTTTTCCTCCTTTGTAGGAAGACTTGCCTGAAAACTTGCCTCCGCCTTTCTGCCTCCGAGGGCTCGTGTTACCAAAAGCGGACCAGCTGCGCAAGTGAATTTGTCCATGGAATTCAAGCAAGAACTTGGCGTAGACGTCAAAGGATTGGTTGTCGCCTGCAGCTGTCTTGATCATGAGCTGTTCTGTCTTGCTCAAGCCAGAACCTTCCTCACCACGCATGGGGTCTGAAAGACTTACCCCATCATCCATCTCCAAAAGCTTCCTCCACCAACGACGTCTTCGTGAAATGTAGCTAGTCATGCTTTCTGTCGTTTGGCGAGACAAGGGACCATGTGGGAGTTGACCCACTCTGAACAACTCTCGTGCTTCTTGTTGTCGAAGTGGAAAAACTTGTGCACGGATACGCGATATCAACTCATCAATGCCAGTTGGAGTCAACAACTTCTCCAATCCCATGTCTTGAGCTGTGAGGTATGCATCACCTCGCAGACCTTCCAACACCTTGTGGACAAGTGTTGCATACTCTGCTCCATCATCATCCAGTCCGGCAGTGCTCAGAGCTGGTTCTTCTTCTGCTGCCACGCTCTCGGACTTCGGGGTTCCAAAAGCTTCAAATCGTGCCTCGTCATCCTCTGATACATCCCCAGCTTCGGTCGCATGAGTCGGCCTCCTCTGAGAACGTTCTGGTGTGGCTGATTGGCTTCCAGGACTCGAATAGGTCTTCTCTGACTTCTTCTTCGCATGTTTCTGCTTGTGCAAAGCAACGCGGACCTTGGTGCGAAATTCCCATTCGAAGAAACCATTTGGATTGCCACTGTAGATGTATGATCCGCTCTTCGTCTCCTGTGGTCCTGAGATACTTCCTCCATGGGATGTGTACCGCAGGCCAGCCAGCGACATCGCAACTCAACAAGTTTCGCAAAGCACTGGAATTACAACGGTTCGACGGATTGCGCGCAGGGTCACGCAATTGGGTTCAACGGGTTCGGATCCAGCGAGTCTCCCCGGGTGAGTCAGATCCTGAGGGTGCCCCTTCAGAACCTGCTCCGCTACCAGTTTGAATCTCGCACAGTTCCTTTTCGCAGCAGCGAATCAGCTCAAGGGCCCTGTTCAGCCGAAACAGCAGCGACGGTGCATCAACTGTACGCAATACACCCTGGCTACAACAGCTGAAATTCACACAAGTGTGCAGTCAATGACCTAGCAGACCTAGCAATCCATTTGCTGTCAAGGATACGGGAAATAACACATCTTTCCCCCAAAAGGACCCATAATTAGGAACATCCGAATCCACCCCATACAGGCAAGTCCGCTGTAAAGCAAAACGATCTCTTCTGGGGCGGCCAATCGTTCTACCGCTCAACCCTTTTCTTGATCTATTAGTTGAGATTTTTACCAACTAGGTGCACGCGAGTAGAAGGCGACAAAGGCGAGACCGGTAGCCGCTGCTTGAGACGTTTGCACCTCAACCTCGGTCCCCAGTGATACAGAGCCTGCTTCGGCATTCGTCCTTTGTGCCGAAAACGTTTCGGACCGGACCGACGGACCTCCAGCTTCGTGACCTCTGTGACCTTTCTCTCTGTGACCGTGACCTCAATATACCTCAAATGGGATCAAGTTCAGTGACTTTGAAGAACCAGGATGTACAAAGTTGCCCAATACTCTTAGACTTGCCCACTCATTCACCTGCTTTGCTTATTGGATCTACCCAATAGGCCAAATCACCCTTAATTAGCAAAAGCGAGACTTGCTTTATGACTTCTTGTCTATATAATGCATCCCAAGGGACTTTTGGAGCTTGTCCTGCGCGACCAAGGTACACCCCACCGTAAAAAAGCTGTGGATTTCACCCGCTGGGCGTGCCTGGTGCACCAAGGACAATCGTCGTCCATCTCTGTGGACTTCGTTGTCCAAACGACCCCGCTGGCAACGGGTCGCATCGGCGGCGAACCCGTAAAGACCCCAAGCACCGAACAAAGGCGACGATTCTTGCCGCAAGCTCTGCTATAACACATTGAGAATGCAACATGTCCAGACAGCACTTGCAGTTGGGAAAGGTGCATTTCACCAACTTTATTTGATGATGCTCTCATAAAGCGTAAATAGCCACAAAGGGTTTCTTACTAACCTATTTAAAATTTAGACATACATGCATGTTTATGATTATATATAGAGCCAATATGATGACTTCAGGATGTTTGCTATGGCCATCCTCAAGCACCTTCACAACATGAACGAACCCAAACACCAAATGACGATGAAAAAGCACAGGCCGTCCGCACATCTCGTCCTCCAGGATGACAGCTAAGGCGATGTTCCCTCGGTTTACCCGGTGAACCGCCTTCGCCTCGGTTCACCACGCACGACGCGTCTTACAACGAAGGCGTCGACGCGAACGAAACGCCTTTGAACAGCAGGTTTTGGGTTGAAGGTGTCCAGTATCTTCCAGTGGATTTTTGTGCTAGTTCTCTGCCCATGCCCACGATAAAACAGGGACCTTGTGTCTTTTATCAATTAGGAGCATGTTCCACTGGCTGATATCGTGCCCGTGGCCAACCAAACATGTCACCAGAGTCACCATCAACGATCCCACGATCCCAAGAACCACGCCGGCCCTGGCACAGGAGTTCGATGGATTCCAACCCAAACTCCGATCACTTCAACAGCTCTTTTTGGTCTTAGATCAGTGATACAAACCGTCCAGGGGCACAGCAGTAGACACAAATGGCCCGAATAGCACTAAGAAACCAGCCTTGCAAATGCCTTGCGCGAACAGAAACCCAAGCCATGGCTGATGGAAGATTTCAACCACCCTCCCACGCCCCCAAGATCTCACCTCGATTTCTGGATCGGTACTGCACTGCCGCAACTCCTGCGACCGTCGGTGCCATCAACACCGGAGAAAACACCATCGTTGGCGTAGATCGGTGCTATTGGCGGTGGTGCTGTTGGCGGAGAGGCTTGGGAAAGCTCAGGTCTTGAAAGAATCCAGACCCTGCACCGATTTGGTGAAGGGTCCAGACTCCTGGTAACCTGCTGTTTTCTTCCCCCCTATACTCCCGTTCTTTTGCAGGTGAACGGTGCAAGGGGGTTTCAAACTTCCAAAGCTGAGCAGGACGAAACCGTCCAAACCCGAAGACGAAGTATGTGAAAGATTGACCTGGATCGATCTGTAATAGGCAAAATCCTCGGATGGAGCAATGGTCTTGACCGACTTTCGGACTCTCGCGGTTCTTTGGCAAAGACATGGCAAAGACCAAATGAAAACACGTCGTATTCTTATTGGAATTTTCTAGGAATATGCAAGGTCCTTTAAGAGAAAGTGGAATAACGCCTCCAACAATGCAGCTATAACAAATGCTATAGCTGGTGCTATCGCCCGGTTGTGCGCGCCGTACAGTGCCTCGCGGGAGAGCCGATCATAGTCGAAGATGGCTTTATCCAAGCGCTTGAAGCGAGTGACTTTGAAGAAGGTCGCACAGCCTTCAGTGGTGTACCTGAGTGCGATGTGACAGGTGGTAAAAGTGAAAAGAAGTGGTACACAAATATGTACAAGTATATATATCTACAACTAAAACAATATCTTGATGATAATATGATTCGTGATATTCTGCTCAAATGATAATATTGTAATATATTATTGATGATAATATGATTCAGAAGCCACATCGAATCAGGTTGCTTCTGCTGGATTGCCTGCATTTATGGTTCTGCCACCGAGGCACTTTCCACGATGGAAGATGGGATCACGCTTCTTCCTTGGCCAAAGCGCTGATGATTTTGGAATTCCTCGAGTGAGGTCACAAATATCAAGGATGAACCAAGTATAGTATATTCAATATATTATCTGGTTGGTGTTTTCAACCCACTTGAAAAATATACATCCCCAAGTAAGGGTTGAAAATAATAAATATCCGAAACCATCACCTAGTTATGTATTTCTCCAGATCACTGTTTTAAAGTGAGGACCCCAAGCAGATTCCCCTGAGTGGTCTGATTTCCCTTAGTCGACAGGGTCGAAGTCCGCTCTAGACACCCATAGCCCCAAGGTACTGCCAATGGATCATGATTTTCAAGGATATGGATGGTCTATGGCCTATATGGAACTGCCTATCGATCATGGCCATATCCTTGAAAGGCCCCTTGTGGCCATTTCAAGGATTTGGATATATGATGATATATGGCCTATGGCTTCCACAAATGTTGCACTAGACCAGACTGGTTGTTCGCATGGAAACTTGGCACCAGGACCTTCCAACAGGTTCTTGGACACCCCAAGTCACCTCTAAGAGGCTATGAATGCAGTATATATATAGATATAGACACTCCTTGACTCCTTGGAGAGTCCTAGTAGTTTGTAGGTCCATCCTCTGACCAGTCAGGTCAATTGCTTCTGCTTTTCCGCTCTTGGACTCAACCAAAAGGCCTTCTTGAAGTGTCTGAAGCCTCCATGGGATGATTTCCGGATCTCCGTCTACTGGTTGCCTGAGAAAAAGAGGTCTCGGATAACACCCGTCGTCATTCCCAAAACGGATTGGTGGGGACATGTGGGGACCATTGACCATCCTTTTTTCAGTCGGACATTTCACCGAGGGGAGCCGGATGAGTTCACCAAACAACTGCTTTGCTCTCAGCTCTCGAAGACTCTTGCCATGAGACTCCTGCTTGGTGTTCTTCCGGTCCGCACCTGGAAACCCAAAGCACCAAGGTGCGCTTGGAAGATGCCTTCATAGCCTGCTTCGCTCAAGGTCGGCTTGAACCACTCGTCATAGGCGTCTTTTTGCACCTGATCGACCCGCGTCGACCCGCAGCTGCGAGGACGGGCTGCTACGGTGACCATCCTGAGGCGCGCATCCGCGGGCTTTCTGAAATCCCAAAGACGGCCGGAGAAGAATTCTGGATTCTGAAGCTTGCCTTCAGCACCTGGATCCAAATGATTCGGTTTCTTGACTTGTTCTGGGTTTCGGATGCGCTTTCGGAGCTCATCAACGAAAGACATGCGCGCAGTGCTTGATGAACGCGATGCCTCTTGTAGAGTGATGATGTCGGCAGCCATCGACTTGAGCTCCTGGCAGAAACTCCCTCGATCTCAGGTGACGGAGCGTGCGAACGACTGCGAGGTTCGCGAGGTTCGCGGTGAACCGGTGGAAACCGAACGACTGCGAGGGGTTTGGGGATTCGGGGATTCGCACCGGCAATGCCTTGGTTGCCAAGCTAAGGCATAGCTGTTCATGGAACTCTTCCATTTGGTTTCACTGACTGTGATCTCTTTGCCCCTTCAAGGACCAAAATAAACAACATTTACTGCTTAGGCTGTCAATACAGTTGATGGACAAGTTCTCTCCTTGCAATGCCTCACAAGGAGCTCCCTTTCCCTTTGCACAAGATTATATACAGTAATGAGGACTAGGTCTCTCTTCCATACCGACCACGCAGCCCACCATTGATTTTGGCCCATCCACAATCATCCACAGTAATTACCAATGCCATCCAATGCCCAAACATGTGGCATGCCTCCAAGTCCTGAATCTTCATGAAACAACTCCACTTGCCCCACTCGGTTTTGGTTTTGAATACGTTTGGGATCCATTTGACCAGGTTGAGATCACTTGGGGGGCATTCCATTCTCGTCCACACACCACCTTTCTTCGGTCCCTTCCGTGGACCGTGGGCCCACGGGGGCTCCTTGATGATCAAATGCTTCCGCCAATTCCATGACAACGCCCACTTCTCGCAGTAGGGGTAGACCTCGTTATGAATGGTCTTCGATTTTTCAGGAGTGAAAAGGTATGCTAAGGAGAGGAATGGAGAGGACGAATGACTTCTGAGCGAAAGGATGCAGTTCCTTGCCATTTTTTGGAGGTCCACCCAAGGACCCGCAACAGTAGAACGCAAAAAAGTGAACGGATGTGACAGGTATAGCGGTTATTCATTGCTATGGCCGGGGCAAATCAACATGCCACTTCACCTTCGAGTTCTTCCTGCTTGGTGGCTTCCACTGCCTGCTTTGCGCGATTTCCTCAACTCCTTTCTGCATCGGTTCGGGTGCTCAGCTGGGAAGTGTGGAACATCGGGTGAACAAATGCACAAACCGAACTGGGCGTCCAATCCGTAGAGTCGAGGATATCCGGGTGGGTGGTCCTACCAAATCACTTCCCTATTGTCCTAGTTGTCCTAAAACGTATCTCTCCGACGATCAACGAGATCACTTCCTTCTGCTTTCGTCTCGTCTCTTCAGCGAGATCTGGTTTTCATTCCGGTCCCAAGGTCGCCACGTTCTCCGTGGCGTAGAGGTCAGCCAAAATGTTCCAGTTCATGACCTGCGGCATTCGATCGGCATTTCCCGGAGTCACGACGTTGGAAAGCCGGCACTGACGCGACAAATTGTTGAAATAGACAAGCAGGCTGAATGGTGCAACAAATGAGCGTCCCAGGTGGTCCTTCTGTGTTGTTAAGGAGCACGCTTGAACAACTACCCCATCACTGGATGGGAATGGCACAAAGCCACAGAAGCATTCTGGGTCACAATCCGACCAATAACAAAAATGCTAGTGGCTCTGCATAAATCCCTGAGACAAAGACTTGCATGCTACATGCACCTCATCAACAAGGGCATCTGCGACACCTAGCGGTCATCCATGACTCACTCATACCGATACCAGGCCCAGATCCTCAGAAGGAACGACACGGAACAACCCCTAACCCCCCTGACCGTGTTTCCCTCTCCCAACCCCTGAACTGAAACGTTCGGAGGGCCAAATGGGACGAACATCCGCGGCCTTGAACTGCTTGCTGAGCCATTCGGCATTGAACTGTCCTCCATTGCCTGAACAGCACGGGGCGAATATGTGGAAAAAGAGGCCGGGGTGTATTAGAATAGGACCACCAAAGAGCCAAAGAAAAGAACACATATGGAAAGATTCTCTCCAACCCATTGCTCTAAACAAGAATAAGTCTCCTTATTCAAATGTATGCTTTGCTCCTTCCTCGCACCTGTGCGTCTACTCAAAACCATGGACCAAACTGACCCAAGTTGAAGACTAAACGGTCTTCCTTTAATTATGGCGTTTGGTCGATCAGGAGTCTTTTGGCGTTCCACGTAGAATTGCTAAGAACCTTCTCCAATACACACCCGTTGATGACGGCAAGATATGCTGCTCAATGAAAGCTGTTGACTCGACTGAGCCGAATTTCCTGCCTTCTGCCACTTTCATTTCTCAGCCACAACCCCCCCCAGGTGTGTAGGCTCCCAAACCCCGGACCTCAACTCCGAGTGGGGAAACCACTGCCGATAGAAAAACGTCGGCCGACAAAGTTGAACCACGTCCACGGAAGCGGCTGAGGGGCTGATCATCTGTCGCATGCGCGCTTCCTTGGGCGTCGGTATCACGGTGCCCGTGGTGATCGACATCATCCCCTTCTCCTCAGCCGCGCGCATAGGCCGCGCGGCTGCGCTAGCCGCGCGGACGGCGGACTGAGGTGGTGGAGTTGGGTGACGGAGATGCGGCTGAGCATATGTGACCCAGGAAACTGGGAGGTCTATAATTTGTGAAGTTCCCATGCATGATGTTGCCGATCAAAACTCTTGCGAGAAATAATGGAATAGCTGGAAAGATATCGTTTTGTTATGTTCCCGTATCGGTTTCCAAGTGGCATCACAATACGTTATACCTAGAAACAACAGCAGCCTCTTGCTTCTTTCAAGCTAATGTCGTTGTCATTGGTTGTCGCTTCTTCCACTCGGACTATTGGACATCTGGGCCAGGGTCGCAAAGCAAATGTCCGTAGGTTCTGGATGGTTTTGGCATCACTTAGTTTGGTCTCGTTCTTCGTTTTGGCTTCGCACCAGCAAACCTTTTTTGGAGTCACTACACTACACGTATTGCATGTGCTCCATGGCTTGGAAACAAACAAAGTATACTGCTGAGGTGGACCCATTCGAAAGTCGATCATATATGCATGTTCCACTGTATCTGAGCTTGCCTCGAGAAAAAAACTCCGTATAGCCGTACAGTAGAAGTCTCATTGAAAGCTAAACTGATAAACCTCACTCCCAAGGAACCTGCACTGCGCTGGTATTGAGCAGCCTCTTCTTCGAGAGAGACCCAGGGACATGCCCAAAACCCAGGAACACTCCATTCCGTGCCGTTGTTCGAACACCCTTTGGGGGAAACAACCAGATCTTCGCCACAAGCCGATCTTCCACTTCCTGTTCAACCAAGGGAACCGATAGATGGTGAAGGCGTGTGAAGACATGGTGGGTCAAAACTATTGACCTACTTGGAAGTTCGTTCGCTACATGGTCCAGGTCAAGCTACCCACAGCCACAGCATCTTGGAAGATTTCTTATCTTCAAGGAAACTCGTTCAGTGCTGCTGATAAAGCTGGGAAATGTTGGACCTCAGGCCGTTCTTGGCCAATGGCTGATGGTTTGCACTACCGTGTCAAACGATGGAATTGTCCACTGGCGTGTGCTTCGGCCATCCGCCAAGCGACACACTCTCGACCATCCTTGGTGAGCGGGATAATGTCCTGAGATGCACAGCAACTTAACGCGCGCGAGTTAAGCAGGTGGCCTGAACAAAGAGCAGGCACAGGCACCAAGAATGCAAACATGTCACGATGACGCTTGTCATCTTCCTGTGATATCTGTCTCCTCCCAAAACGAATCGACAACTTTAGTTATACCTTGTTCTCCCAAAAAAGAAGTCTAAAAGGACCGGTGGCTTTGGACCAGCAGCTTTCCGCACTCTGAAATTCCAGCCCTCACTCCAGCCAACAGCCGTCCAGCCGTCCAGCTTTGGGCTGGGCGTCAACTCGCTTGCCGGGCTTTTTCCCGGGAAACTGTTTGAAGCAAGCAAAAGGTCTGCGACGTTGGAATAGCAAATTTTACCCTCGGGTTGCTCACAAAACAAAGGCCTGCTACGTTGGAATGGCAACTTCTTGCTCTAAATTTTGCCATCGCAAGGCTAAAGGTCTGCAACGTTTGAATGGCTCCTTCCTCTTCTAAATTTTGCCTTCAGGTGGCTCACAAAAGGTTTGCTACCTTGGAATGGCACCTTCTTCGTCTAAATTTTACCGTCAGGGTGGCTCACAAAAATGGTCTGCTACTTCTGGTGATAAAAAGGTCTGCTACAGTGCTTCACAGGATGTATGACCAGATTTCCAAATCACCTTGAATGCGTCTTGCCTCGAAAGTACAGACCCAAGGACCCGAAGACCAAGACCAAGGACCAAAGGACCAAGGGGCCAAAGGACCAAGGGACCAGGGGACCAGGACAAAGGGACCAAAGGACCAAGCGACCAGGGAACCAGCAGACCAGGACCAATGGAGTAGGGGAAATGTTCTTTTTGATACCATGGGAGTTGCGTCACGTTCGTGTGTGCGGTCCTTTTCTTGAGCCAAACGTTGTGGCGGTTTTTTCGCCAAGTTTGTTGTGGGTCTCACGTGGTCCATGTGCTTTTGCAGACTCACGCTCCCCCTTGCGACTAGTTCGCAACCTGAACTCGGTCCTTGACCAAGAAAAAGCTAAATCCGCACCACTTGCCGTGCAGATTTGGCAAACCATCCTTGTGCCATTCGGCATCTACATAGATCAGCCGCTCAGAAAACTTCATGGTGTTCTGGTTGAGCAGCCAAGCCACCGTCACCCTGAGATACTCGAGGTCTCTCATGTCCTCAGGTGTGGATCGATGCTCTGGGTGAAATCGCTGCACCCTCAAACTGTGCCTTCGGACCATCCACGTTTCCAGCGGCAAGCGAAGATAGTCCCAAGCGTCTGTCCTTGGAACTGGTCGAAACTTCGTGGCTTCTTCATCCACCAGTCGCTGCACCTTGTCAAAGAGCTCCTGGTTCCACCAAAGCGATGGTTGAATCACCAAAGTGTCCCCCTCTTCACCCACAGGAGGAACCAGCCGAGGCACCGGCGGCCAATGCGGCCGATCCCATGGTGAAGGATAAGCTCGGTGTGGGTTATCTTGAGACCCGTCTGATGGATGCGGAAGAGGTCCAGGCTTTGGTGCCACCACCCAAGGAGGATACTCTTCTGGCCACGCCGATCCCACTCGAGCAGGTCGTTTGGGCACCTCCTGACCTGAGCACGAAGACGAACCTTTGGATGTAGTTCCCATCGCCGCTGCCCCCCGCGCCGCCGCCTTGCCCCCAGCGTCGTTCATTGGCCCTGGTGGCGGGCTTTTCCGTGGATAGTACCCGGTCCTCAAGCCCTCAATGGTTTCATTGACATGTTGCACATACTTCGGCAGCACAGGTGGAGACTTCGGCAATGGACCCGGCACCCCTTGCACATACTTCGGCAGCACCGGTGGAGACTTCACGGGCGGGCTGTCTTCCCTAACCGCCTTCGATCCCCTTTGCTGTCCAGTCGTTGTCGACGAGGACGACGAGGCAGCCGCCCCCATGTAGCCGGACTCCTCAACCTCGCTAGCCCGGCCAAAACGCAGCTGCAGCTTTCCCCAAATGCCATGGCGAGCGCTCGCGGCTTCGAGTTCGACGATGTTGGGAGCCTCTAGGCTACTGTTAGGGTCTTCCCATCGTTGAGACATCAAGGTCTCAGACCCTGGCGTGCGGCCCGACGCCTCTTCATTTCTGGTCTCTTGTCCTTTTCTTATACTTTCTTCTTTTTCTTTTTCTTCTTGTTGTGACCTTTCTTGGTCTTTTGGTTCCCTTGCAAGTCCCGCTCGCAGGGTACACAACTTGGGTCGGGTCGCCACTAGGGATTCTCCCCCGGAACTGCTATGGTTGTACTGACCCTGGAAAACACGTGGTTTTGAATCCCCAGCGTTGACCCCCTTCCTACCAAAAATCCTAATCGCTTCAGCTGCTAAAGCCACGCTCAGAGAAGCCACCACCGCCACCTTGACGATTTGACTCGGCCACCCCGGGAAGGCTGCGCAGCTGGCTAGGCATAGAGCGACCTTAGCCAATCGCACTCCACCATCATTCTCGCCCTCCGGAACCTCAGCCTCCTGGTCGATGTCATTCTCCCCCAGGTCCACCATGTGAATGAACTTCCGGAAGCGTTGCCATGCTGTCTTTACGGCAATGGCCTTGGTGAGGAAGTCTGCAATCAACTTTGTCCCCTCCAAGTGGTAGATTTGCCAGGTTCCCAGCCGTGATCTTTCCCTCAAGGCGTGTGAACGCAATCGCAGATGTCGAGTTCGCCACGGCCCATCAGGTTGTCGGATGATGGCGATTGCTGCCTGGCTATCCCCATATGTGACCACTGCCGGCGGCTCCTCCACCCCCAACACCTCAGTCATCAGGGCTTGCAAACTATCGCCCATCACGGACGATTCGATGTAGCCCAACAACTCAGCTTCTGCCGTCGACAATGCCATACAGCTTTGCCTTGAGGATTCCCATTGAACCACTCCACCACCAACCATGGCTACAATGCCTTGAACACTTTTTTCTCCTTGTGGAGCGTAAGACACGTCGCAATAGATCTCCACCAGGTTCATGCTGCGTTCTCGAGCCAAAGCTTGGTCGGGTCCCCGATCTTGTTCTTTGCATTTTCCATAGGCCAGGAAGCACTTGTCAGTGGCGTTCAGGTACTCCAAGATGTAGTAGCCTGTCTGCAAAGCCCACCGTGGCCTTTTCGTCACTGCCCTCCCCAATGCCCCAATAGCGAATGCCAGATCCGGTCGACTCCTCACCGCAACCCACAAAATCTCTCCAGCAATGGCCTGAGCCTGGCGAACCTCCTCGATCTTGACGTCCTCCTCTTCCTCCACAAGGCTAGCATGCTCCTTTGGCAACGGTGTAGACCTTTTGTTTGTGATCTTCCGGCGACAAAGGAGATCCTGCAGGTATGAGGGTTGTCCCACCAAAAGTTCCTCGCCCTGATACTTCATCTCGAAGCCACAGAAACGCACCCATTCTTCAGAGTTCACCAACTCCGGCTTCGAAGTCTTCCACTCCTCTTGTATGCGAGCCACCAGCCCATCATGGACGGCTTTGTTGCCCATCACCATTAGGTCGTCAACATAGACCAGCATCAGACCGACCGGAGCCGCACACCCTTCCTGTAGGACCCGCCATAAGTTTCGTTCTTTTGTGGATTGAAGCTTGTATTTCACCCCCTCCACAACCCATTCAAACTTGTTGAACATGGCGTCCCGGTGTAGTGCCCAGAAGCTTGGTGACGTCTGGAACCCGTAGAGTGCTTTGTGTACTATCCACACTTCATTTTCCGGGCAGATGCCCAGTTGTGACATGATTTTGGGCGGAACCACCGCCACTGGAGCAGCGCCAGGAGCGGTAGGCCTTGGTGCCTGTAAAAAGGCACTTTTGACATCCAGCGCTGACATCATCCATCCTTCATGAGCAGCTCGACGCACTGCGCATCTGATCAAAGTGCCGTCAGCTCCGCTGGCGTAACTTCCTGCTGGACCAGGTGCAGGGTCTGCCGTTGGTGATGTCATGTTTCCGCATATGACAGCCCGCGCGCGATGCGCGCCACTTCCTCCCTTGCGCACGCACACCATTTTGCCAGGTACTAATTCAGCATGAGGAGGAAGGCTTTCACGAGGTACAGGATGTACGGCCTGCGTGTCTTTCACGAGGACATCGTATTCATACTGAAAAGCTGGAATCCAATCTTGAGGATGTGCTCGGACTTCATGAAGAGGCACGGTGACCGTTTGCAGGACATCAGAATCTTGAACTTGGAGGCTGCACAAATGGATGCGAGTGTCCCTTTCCACTCTACCCAATTGGATCAAGTTGTCCTCCAGCTCATCCCGCCATTCCACAAACAACTCCACCTCTTGTCCTTGTTGAGCTCCTTGTGAAGCATTGCGAGGAACCCCATCCACCAAGTTGGACAATTGTTCTTGTAGTCGCATGTGATGCCACTCCCACGTCTCCTTCACGAGCTCCATGGGCAACCACCTCCCGACACCATCTTCGTCACCGTAGGGCCCTTCAGCGGGAACTCCCACTGTCATTGCCTTCATTCCCGAAGCTGATGCGGCTGTTGAGGACCTCGGGAACCTCTCTGGTGCATCCTCCCATAGTTTCGAGGTCGAACTTTTTGGCTCCTTCAATGAAGACGACGAAGAATACTCCCCCCCCGCTGAAGTCGGACCCGCAGCAGTGACCACCGCCATAGGTTCTCCCAAGCGCGGAGTATTCCCTAAAGGCTGTTTGCCAGTCAATCTTCGGTGAGGTTGACCAGGACGATCCTCTTCTTCCAGCTGCAGCTGCACCATGTCCCCTTGCACCCCTTGTTGGATGCGGAGCTGTTCTCCTTCTTGGTTGGTTTGTACTGCTTCCCTTACATGAAGAACTCGACCATCTTGTAGTTGCACCACCCAACCGCCATTGACCAGGTGACTGGGACACAAAACCCGTGCTTCCACAAACGGGGCCACAAGTCCTCCACCTTTATGCCACTTTTTGACCTTGACCAACACCTTCCCTCGATAGGGCAACATAGGAAGGCAAGGCACCCCTAATTCCTCCAGCTGTCTCCGACGACGCTCTGCCGCCACGTAGCGAATCGCATCCGGCCATGAAGTTGCTTCGCAGCCATGTTCCGCCAACTTGAGGCGCACCCTTCTTTTGATTTGGTGTACTTCCGCTTCGGCATGTCCGTTTGAAGCCGGATCATCTCCCGCCGTAGTTGTAGGAACAATTCCATTCTTCGCACACCAAGCTGCCATCGATCGAGAGATCAGTTCCTTGGCTCGGTCTGAATGTAGACGATTGACATAGATCCCCATGGCCTTGAAGTGTGCCAATGCTTTCTGCATCGCCACCACCACTTCTTCCTTCGCCCGGGACACTATAGGTTCCACATGCACCACATGTTTCACTGGGACCTTTTTCAATGAGTCTTGTAGTTCTTGATGGAAACGTTCTTCTTCTGGGAATTCCTCCTTCATGATGTCCAACTCCCCCGGTTCTGCATCATCCTCCTCCACAGGTGGTTGCCCCGGGTCTTCCTGAGGTTGGTCTTCATGTTCTTCTTCTTCCTGCCCCCCATTGGTTTCCTCTTTCCCTCCACCCAAATCCGGGACCAAAGCCACTGCTACCAGGGCATACTTCATATAATAGCTGGTGGTCAAATCTTTAGCCCGTGGTAGAGGTCCAACAATGTCCACTGACATAGACCATGAAGAAGTCATAGTTTCTCCTTCTTTTCTTCTTCTATGAGGTCGTTGAGCCCCCATCTGTTCCACACATAGGCGACAATCCCGACGAAACGGTCGATGTCCTTGCCGAAAATGTTGCGCCCACTGTTCTTTCTCCCTTGCCGTCAAGGCCTTGGCGATTTTGGGTCCTTCCCCCATCAACTGCTCCAAATACAGCTTCAGCGAGGCCCAAACCGCTGCTCTCAATCCTGAGGCCCACAATGCCCACGACCGTGACTGTTCCATGCGTTCCGCCAGGTTTTCTGCGAGAGGTTCATCTTGGCCTGGTGGACTTCTCAACTCATGGACCTCCGTCATGTTGGGCAAGTTGGTCATGATTGTAGTAGGCTTTTTTCGAATGTGCCCCATAGTTTTCTGATCAAAGCTGACCATGTTCATCCCTTCCTCTTCCTCCAAAGCGAGAATCTCTTCCCAGCTCCAAAACGAAGGCATCACGCTTCCCAGTTTGTTTTTTCCAGGATCCTCCGGAGACTCCAGCAAAAAGCCTGTCTTCACCCTCCCGAGGTCATACTTTACGCGCGCCTCCTCCGCCATGTAGTAGATGCCCACTTGTTTGAGGATCAGGGCCGTGTCGTGGTCCGCCAATCGTTGTTCCCCAGCACTGAGGTTTGGTAGTCCAAATCTTCCAGCTCCTCGATCTCGTAGTGGTCGAGGTCCTGGACGCTTGAACCTCATTCTTGACACTGTCCTGCATGGTGGTCCACCAATCACACTCTTGATGGCCCCCTTCCTCGCCAGATTGGCCAGGAAACCCCATAGGCCAGGATTGTGAACATCCTGATCCTTGCCCTTGGTGATGTCCAGGGTGATCACCTCCCAGCCGTCCTGTTCCAACCTTCGCCATTCCTCCGCCTTCTCCCCCGCATAGAGGTGTAGCAGAATCTTCTTCGACTGTTGCAGTCGCCTTCTTGTACCTCGATTCCAAGGTAGTGTGCCTGAAGTGGACTCCTGACCCTCCGCCATGTAGCGAAACACTCGGGAAGGCACCTGAGGGAAGCGTCTTTTCCACCACCCCATGATGTCCTCATCCAGGTTCTCCTCATCATTCAGGTCTTCTACCTTCTTTCGTTCCGCCTCCTCGATGTCCGCGATGAGGGCCAATGCATCCGCCTCAGCCACCACCGGGCAGCCATCTCGCAACCACGAGGAGATTTTTCCCCTTTTGGGATGTACCACAACGCAGCCCCTGCGACTCCACTGTAGCTTGTAGCCCAGGTCAATCAAGCCCCGAACTGGAACAATAGGCTCAATGCCCCCTTCATTCGAATGGTACCAGTCACCGGATCTTGTTTGAGCGACACACGACCATGCGCCAAGTCCACCGGCACCAATTCAGCCTTTTCCAACTCATCGGGAAGTCCTGTCCGGAGAGGATGTGTTGCCCCACCATCCAGTAGTCCCACCTTTAAATCAGGGTCACCTTCACCACATAGCGAAGCCCCAACTGACTTGCATTTCACGGCCATGAGTTTTGCCCGATGCAGTGACTTCAACAGCGCCGTCGCCTCACCCACCAAGCCTCCCACCGTGTTCACCACTTCATCTTGTGGAGCACCTCCCCCAGGCGTAGACCTCGACCCAGTAGGCGCTTCCTCAACCGTTGCCGTCGTCCCTGGTGAAGTTGAAGCATTGGCCTCCTCCTCCAAGACTCCAGCACGCTCCGGCTTTTCCGGGCTGTTTGTGTTGCTTCCCCCTTTGACCTTCGCCACCTTGACCGCCTCTTCTCCCTTCCCCTCCTTCTTCAAGAACGGGCAGGCTGTGCGGCTGTGGTTCAAGCCAGAGCAATGAAAGCACCTGTTGTCCTTGGGACTCAATCGATGGTGCTTGAACTTGCACCGATCGCCACGCCGACACCCTTTTTCGGTCATCCAAAACCTGCAGGTGTCTTTGTCACCGGCGACATTCTCACGTTGTTCCCCCACCGAAGGACTCGTCCAGGACGTGGATGAAGTTCCGGAAGTAGGATTGGTAGCCACTGCTTTCAATGACGGACCCTTTCCCTGTCCCACTCCAGTTCCTGATCCCATCGCTAGCTCTTCCGCCTCCGCTTGTAGGAACTCCGCGAAGATCTTGAGGTTGTCCAACGTAGGCCTGGTGTCGATCAGCAACTGCTGTCTGCTCGTCGCCAGTCGATAGGCCACCTGAGCTCCAGACTTCGCCAAATGGTCTGAAGCCTTCACCAACACCCCTGCCAGGACCACTGGATCCGGAAGAAGCACCCCCAACTCCTCCGAGCGATTCCACCAACGCCGCCAGGTTCGAAGGACCTGCACCACGTCGCCCATGTTTTGGGTAAGTTTGAGCTCGGTCAAGTTCTTAATGAGGTTCATCCGTTCACCTTGTCCTCCAGGTTGAAATTTTATGTAGAGGATGAACAATACCTGAGCAACTGTCATTTTGCGAGCCGTGATGACCTCCGATTTCACAGTGTCAGGCACCGCTTGTAGCAACAGGCTGAGCATCCTTCTTTCGGTCCGAGGCCATTTGTTCGCCTCTTCTGATTGTGCAGGACCAAGACGCAAGCGTTGCAGAGGATCTGCCACCAGCCACGCTTCATAGGCCTGCTCCACATTCTTTAGGGTCAACTGCCACCACTGATTTGCCCCTTGGCTGATCTCCGACACGATGGGCTCCAGGGTAGTCAACCAGTCACCAAACGTCAGCGCCGTGGCATCCAAGCCCAGCACTGGCAATTCCACCGACCGAGCGTTGTCGCCCAGTGATTCCTCAGCTGGCATCCACATGCCATTTGCACTTGATGGATTTCCATTGGGAAAAATGCCACACACACCATTTCCCCATGGAGGTAGTCCGGGTAGTCCAGGAGGATAAGGCCATGGATATGCTACTGACCCCACGCCTACGCCATTGGGACCCACATTGACTATGGGTGCAGTGGTCTTCACATCTCCAGCAGCCTCTCCACCTGGTTGAAGTCGATCACCTTGGACTTTGCCTCCAGGAGCTTCCACTGCCGATTGGAACGACGAGTTCGAGCTCTGTTGCCCCAATTTGCGAACTTCTTCTTGGAATTTCGCTTCGGCCTCCTTCAGACATCGCTCACGAAGACGTTCGACTTGATCGCCGCCATCACGAGGTTGTTGACCTTGTCCTCGAGGATCGCTTGGACGAGCTTGATCATGAAGTTCCCTCAACTTCTCTGCGGACCAGGGATTCAATGGTGAGCTCTTCACAGAACCTTTCGTCTCTTCGAGAACTCGTTCACGACCACCACCGAGTTCCTGGGAAGCAACTCCCCCAGGCCCCTTCACCGATGAACCTCCTTCAGGTAGTTCTTCTCGACGCCCTTGAGGTGCCACCGGCAATTGGTCTGCAGAGCTTCCACTCCCCCACATACCAGGGTAGGGTTGTTCCAAACCTGCGAGCATCCCCCAAGCCTGTTCTTGCACCGGTTGAAGCAAAGAAGGCATGCCCCCACCGCCATCGTGCCCTCCAACTTGTCCAGGACCGGCTGGTGCAGGTAGAGCTGGTTGCAGCCCACCCACCATAGGCACCTGTGGGAAAGGTGGCAAAGGTGGAACCATCGGCATGAACACCGGCGGAGGGCCACGAGGCCCCAGTTCTCGATGATCTTCTGGCGCAGGTAGTGCCCTTTGTTCTTCCACCTGTCTTCTCTCCGCCGGCGTATTTGTCACCGCAGCATAGGATGTTCTCTTCAGGGATGGTGTCATCGTTCGGCTCGGCTCCAAGCTCTGTGCCCTTCGAGGCTGATCCCTCGCGGCTTCCAGCATGGCGTCCAGCTGCTCGTCAGCCGTTGGTGTTTTCGATCTTCTTCTCCGAAGCGTCGTCGATGTCATGGCTTCACACGGTTGGGCTCATAACCCATGGGAGTTGCGTCACGTTCGTGTGTGCGGTCCTTTTCTTGAGCCAAACGTTGTGGCGGTTTTTTCGCCAAGTTTGTTGTGGGTCTCACGTGGTCCATGTGCTTTTGCAGACTCACGGATACGAATGAATGTTTTTTGATAGGAATCGATTTTGTTATTGGAATGATTTGTCTTTTTGATAGGTATCCCAGCCAGCAGTGGACCAATTGGTTGGACCTTTGAGTCTGAAACAATGCACACCTGCACCCATCCTAGACCCGAATCATGTCGACTTTTGATTAATAACATTGAATCTACATATATAACGTTCACCAATTGAAAGACCTCTCCATAAGGAGAAGGTTATACAATTCATCAAGAGTCTACATCAAGTGTATGTTTGATTATTTTTGGCTCTTGCAGACTCTCACGGCCAGGGCTCCATTCTCAGTGGCCGATTGATGTCCGACTGCGAGGGGCAGTAGGTCCGAGTGGAGGCCACTTGTGTCCACTCTGCCAGGAACTCCTCACGGAACCGACTTCGGAACCCTGTCGGTTGACCGGCCCGGCGCGCAAGCGTTTGGGGTTTGAACCCTAGGGAGAGTGAATCGAACCAAAGTGACTCCTGAAGTCAATAGGCTTGTCTCGAGATATTATTAGGATCCCGATGACTTATCAAACTAAGGGTCCGGAAGCAACCAGTTGTTCTCACAAAAGTGCCTCCTAATAGGATGCCGATAAAGGTATAACTACTCCTTCAATGTGCCCAATTTAATCGAATGAAAGAGCCCAACTTTGTGTCACCTTATATTACCTGTCCCAAACGAAAGCCTTTTGGAGGCCGTTTATGGGCTTCAGTTTAAGAGCATACAGTGTTCCAGCAGGCAAGTTCCTGCCCCTCTTAATTCGGGTACTTCATAAGGGTCATTCCTAACTGTCTCGGGTCAAATGCTGCCGAAACTGTGTCTTCTCAAATGTCCACGGCAATGCGCTGGTCCTCGATCTCGCTCTCAATCAGTCCTCGGTGGTATCACTGTCGGGCTTCTTGCTCCAAAGATGTTGCGGAAGATGATGCCAACCTCTAAGAAAGCATTCCTCGGATCAATCGCGTTCATCACTTATGGCCGGCGGAGGAACCAGGGGACCAGGTTTGGTGAATCATAAATCAATGACCAAATGACCAACGGGACCCTAATGTAGACACTTGATGAATAAAAGCCGTCCCATTTGGATGCACTCACGAAAGCGGTTCAACGCACACACTGGACCGCCCCAACAACGTTGTTGTGGGTACGGGTGGGTCTTTGCCGTGAGAACCGTCCCATTTGGATTGTAAAACCGTTTCATATGGTTTGTTTTTGGGTATCTGGTATCAAGAGTCTACATACATCCTTGGTCCTTGGTATCCTCCCCAATTCAGGATGTAAGCCATCATGATGCTCATCAGCCTGCAACTCCGATATGCCGTGACACACAAACACATCCTCCCGTTTCTTTGCGCCACTCCAATTTCAAACAAAACCTGTCGTGCATCTGCCAGGGCCAAGGTCTCAATTCGCCACTGGGGAGAAGCATATATGTATCACACTCACCACCTAACACTATACACTACAAAAGGTTCACATCTTCCAAAGCGCTGGAACGGAATGCGATGATCTCATGGTTCTCCAAGGTATAGCGTTTTTGTTGCTGTTCTTGCTCTTGCTTGTCAGTGCTGGTGAGCCAGGCTCAATATATGGAACCAGGGGCAGCTTACGCCTATTAGGTGTGGTTACTGGTCTGGTTATATAAGAAGTGGCTTCTTTTGAACTGGCACAACTATCAGCAAATGCTTCAAACAAAAAGCAACACGTAGACTTGAAGGACCTAGGCCGGTGTCAATAATGCAACTGGCTGCTTCCTGTGAAGGAAGCTCTGCTTCTTGCGACCCCAAACCAGAACCCCATGATTGAGCATCTGTTGCGCAGCGCAAGGGGTCCCGTTGGCAGTTGTTTGGAAAATCTCATGATGCTTCAACACAGCGCATGGAGCCCATGATTCAATTCAAGATCGACACCTACAAACTGCCATGCAATGCATTTAGGCTTGTGCACCCCTCATGCCTCGTTTGTTTTGTTTGTTCCTCCCAAGCTGCTCGTGAACAGTAGCAATTGTAGGTCTTCGCCACATCACGAATTTGAGACCTGAGTGAGCTCTCCAAGACCGGAGCAACCCACCCCTTCAAGCTCCATAAACAAACCATTGCTTGAAGGCAGCTTCAGAAACATGAACAGCCTGCTCCTTTTTCATATTCCCAGTCAAGCAATAGTTTGTTCCCTTTTGCAAGGTTAATCCTGGAATAGATAATAGAACTTCGATGAACATATCGGTGGCTCTACCATGAGCACGTAGTTCATCAATGACAGCAGCGTCGGCTTCGTACGCACCACCAATGGGCACAAATCCAATGAAGAATAAAAGTAGATTATTTTAAAACCTGTATGCATTGGTAATTATCACTACAGTATATATTACCGTAATCCATACTTCTATGAACAATACGTTCCTATTACCAGTGCGCCGCATCATTTCACCTTCTCCCCTCCTTTCCCCGCTCGGGGCCCGGGGGTTCCACTCTCCGAGCTCAAAACATCTGCTGACCTTTAGAAGTCCAAAAGGCGTGGTACTGTGGCTTCAACTCAGGGAAAGGCTGCACTGTCTAAGGTTTCCCTACACATCAGGTGCTTTCCCATGTCCATGATCCTATGGATTTCGGATTTTCAGACCCAAAGAGATGTTCAGACCCAAACAGGTCTATAGAGCTATCCTTCGTTCTTTGTATCCCTCAAAAAAAAACGGAGCCACCGCGCACCATCTTCACCACCACGCGCCGTCCAGTCCGCGCGCGTGGAACCCGCGCACTACGTAGTGCGCCGAGTGGCATCTTGTGAGGATGGAAGAAACAAGGCTCGATGACCGGGCCCCGCATCCACCGGTACCGCACCTGAGCGGTGGAAGGAACGACCGACGAACGGCAGCTGGGTTGCTGGGTTTCACAGGTTTTGAAGGGTTGCAAGATGTTGCAAGCATATAGTCAACATGAATCAATTCCTGGTGCCTTTTCAACTCCAAAAGAGCCAGTGGTTTGAGAGTAGATGGCACAATCCCCAAGTTGGGTGGTGACATTGTGGACCCCCATCTGTCTAAAACGTCTTCCTATGCCAGTGCCATCAAACCGCTGAAATCGAGGTATTTTCAGCTTTCCCTTTGCATCATCATGCATCATCTAAGAACCTTAACCATAGAAGGGCGTCCAACTGAGTGAAGGATTCTGATCTCTGCTGGTCTGTCCATCTGGGCCATCGTTCATTGATCCCCGCAAAGTCGTTACTAACCCAGAAGGGTCATGCAACCCATTCTCTGAAGAATCATCAGGGAGGTCCTTCATTGGGTTGAAAACCACCTGTATATAGTTTCTTCATTTGGGTTCCTTTCTGGAACCTGTATGGAACCAACAGGAAGGAACCTGTAATAGTTTCACATGGGTTTCACAACCCCTGATTCCTGTATTCATCAGTCCCTATGGATCCAAATACCTTCTCAGAAGGTACTTGGACCCTAATAGTCTCCAATCACCTTCTCAAACAGTATGTGGATCCATAGGGGTTGTATAGTTCCTTCCTGTTTGGTTTCTATCAGTGACCACATCGCTCAGTTCCCAGCACCCAACCGGTCCGGGTCATGATGGTCATGTCAAGAACCTCTCTCGTTCAACGACCTCTTCGTCCTCATGAAACAAAGAAGCATGGACCTATCCTTTCAACGACCTCACATGCATGGTCATCTTGGGCGCTTGCATGTTGCATGCATAGATCAAAGAACACCGCTTGAATGGATCATCCGTCGTTCCCGGACCTCGACGTAGACGGACGACGAGGTTGACCTCGGTCCGTCCGAGGCACATGTGGGCAGCTGCCTTTGTCCTCGAAGCGACGGCCTTCCCGATCCTCAAGGGCAACCTCGCTGAGTCGGGCGGGTTTCAACGACCACGACCGCCCCACGCGCGAAGGACGAACGCAGATGGAGCGCCAAGACGAACGCAGAGTCGACTTGGGAAGCAAGACGGTTCCGCTCCAAGACTGATGGTTCTGCCCACGGCAGCTCATCATGTATAGACTCTTGATTCAACAGGTCCACCCAGTTTGGATTGAACAACTTCTTCATATAGGGCGGGGAGAAATACAATCAACACATCTACATTAGGATCAAATCGTTCTCCAAGTCCGACTGGTAGCAAAGTCAAGGACCTGCTTGGATAGACCTGCGTGGATCATCCCTGTGCCCGGGGATGCTTGCAGAATCCATGAATGGAGGTGGTTAGCCAATAGGAGATCTGCATATATGATCATATGTATATATATATATACCAGGGCCCCCGGTGCCGTGGTTGGATGCCCCTAGACACCTCTAAGGAGCTATAAGTAGACACCCCCGAAAAAGGGGGCCCTGGTATATATGTTAGACAAGTCCTGCTTGTTCGCTCCAAGCGGCGTAGACCGGCACTTCTGAGACCACCACAGGCCTGCGAGCGCGAAGGACGGCGCTGCCGCGCCAAGGCGCAGCGGACCCGGTGGTTTGGAGCGACGGACTCCAGCCGTGCGGGCTCAAGCCGTGCGGAGCGGCGACGGATCTCCAATCAGAACCTATGACATATTTTGACATATTTTGACCATAGCCATGGACAACGCCAGTGCCAGGAGTTGGAGCAGCTCAAAACCTCTTACTTTGAGGTATGGTGACATGGAGTGACCGATGTATGTTCTTCCACTGAGATGTTTGGAGGAATATGACCATCTGTGCATGCCATTGCGCGCCATGAGGAAACAACACAAACAGTCTTGCTTTTAAACAACATATATTCGTACACTCATGCGTGGTTCTTGTTTACTGGGTGTCTCCGTGACAGCACCTCACTCCCTCAGCTTCCCTGAAAAAGAAGGATTGTTGGGGCATGTCATGCAGACTGAAACTCTTCCAGTTTGGAACTCAAACTCCAAAACATTCATTGATTTCTCCCACAATCCACTGCTGCTCGCAGCTATCTTTTTTTCCGTGATTCCCCATCCACTTGTTTGTGAGCTACAGTGAGGTTTCCTCGATTCCCCCCAAGAAAACGGTTAAAGGTGATCCACGTTTTCCTGGGTAGCGCACCCTGGTGGCGGAACCCACTGGAACTATATTGCAAAAATAAATATTGGGGCTCCAACCACATCCGCCTTCTGAGATATATGTTAATGCATTCCCTACCACACTATATGTTAATACATATGGAAATCTACATATATATATATAATAACATGATAGATACATAGAATTATACAAACTAATATAAACATATATATATATATATCAAAAAATAAAGAAAGAAAGACATGAAGAATTCAAAAAATAAAAACAACTAAATAGATGAAGAGAAAACAACTAAACAGATGGAGAGATTAGAGAGACCATATTCAAAGGGCACGACCGCTCCTTGTTTCCATCCCCCCCCCGTTCCACCGTGGCCTACCGTGCCCCGCGTGGCCGGTCTCGCCTGTGGCCTCTCATGAGCTCGGCGCGTGAGACCCGGACATAAGCCTTGTCCTCGTCTTCGGCATCGGACCTGGCGCCCGAAGGACCGGTCCCACGGAAGCCGGAACGGAAGCCGGGAACGGGATGCGGAACGGCATGCGGCCGTTGCGAGTAAGGTACCACAATTGGGTTGGTTGGTGGTTGGTGGGTGAAAACGGCTCAACGGACTTCCAAAACATATGAGACGATGTGAGTGAAAAATCGTCCCGAGCATATAAAGGTTGAAACATCAACATATCTGAAACCACCACCCAGTACAGTAAACCAAATAGAACAAATTCTTTAGATGGCTGGTTGCTGGATTATTGAGTGCCTGGGTTTCTAGGGCTTCCAGGGAACTGTCAGGAGTTGCAACAAATGTCCTCCCATGTCCTCCTCGCCATGGGTCTTTTCTCATCTCTTCTCCATCCAGTTGTGTGTATTCTGCCCACCGGACCTACTTCTCACCTCCCAAAAAACCCTCTCCAACCATCTCAAACGTATACCATCTCTTTCTCCAACCATCTTCTACACATCTTCTCACTACACTTTCTCTTTATGCGAACTCTCCGCCTCTCCCCTCCCCTCCCCTCTCGTCCGCGCCGAGGGACGTGCCCTCCGAGTCGGACTCTGGGCGGCCCGAGTCCGTCTGCACCATGGCCCCTCGGACGGACAGCACGGACGATGGAAGGGTAGTCGATCGAACGGGCGACGAGAACGGAGATGGCGGGAGATGGGAAGGATGAGTCGGTTAGGGGCGGAAGGAGGAGCTGGCTTCCAGCTATATATATATATATATAATCATCCTGGAGTAGATAGAACTACTTTCGTAGGGGTGTTTTTCTTTTTGAAAAAACTCAGGGTTTTTGACATCCCTTTCATTTTATGAAGACTGACCCTATAGATAGAATATACTGATTAGATTCTTATCACCTCCTCCCATTCCGGTATTTGCTCCTTTGTTATTTTCATGTTCTGTTCCTGTGAGTATTATCTAAGCTTTCCTTTCCTTTTATATTTTCTTTAGAACGAACAGAAAATAGAACGAACAAAGAAGGAAAAGGACAACAAAGGAAAAGGAAGAGAAGCCCCTACAACCATATTCTATCTATGGGGTTTGGAAGGGCCGGTTTTGAGGAGTGAATTGTTTTTTGAAAATTAGTCCATTCTATCTACTCCAGGGTGATTATATATATAGGGTGACGAGGGGAAGAATGATCTCTGGTGTAGGTGAGGACAACCATCATTGGCCCTTCCTGAGTCAGCGGTGTGAAGGACACATGATAGAGTTCAGCAAGTGAGTAAATGTCCCCAAGAGCTTTGGGATACCTGGTGTAGAAAGGATTCATGTGGGCCCGCGTTGAAACACGAAAGTAGTAATTGGACAAACTCCAGAGGCCAAAGTATGCATATACATGATACATGTGTATACTGCATACTTCAGGAATGCTCTCATGGCATGACCTCCGAGTGTCCAGCACCAAATCATCCCAAACCCAATAAACCTGAAGCTCCTCTCCACACTCCCATCAGCCCCCCATCCGCCAGAACACTGCTCTGAGGTCCCAGCTGACCCCTTTAATACTTCAAAAGGCATACGTGTGGCTCGAGCCAGGTCCCAGGGAGAAAGACGTGCAGTTGTGAGACGTCTGGGTCATGCGAGTCATGTGGGGGACCTATCTCCCAAGCCATCCAGGCTGGAAGGTGGTAGATGGATGGATATATATTAGGCTCTTTTCTTCAACGATCATGCTTCAGTGTGGACCATGTTCCTCTACAAACACGGGGTTCCTGGTCAGATTCCATGTTTGTTGGAAGGGCACATGTATTATGTATTTGACTCTTCCAGTCCCATGATATGGTCTAAGACTTGTTTGGGGGGGGCAACCCTGGATCCCTGATCCGAAGCTTCGGACCACCGACCCATGTGGTTTGAAGTTCGCAAACGGAGTTTTCCAAGATCCTCATGACTTGTGAGCCTTCGTGTGGAAGAAGAAACAAGCGCAGCTTCGTTCAGCACGCGATGTGGCTTTTTGGGGAGGAATTTGGTTGTCCTTGGTTCTGCGCGGTTTTCACGTTTTGGCCAACGGAGTAAGGGGCCCTCAGCTTTCAGCCCTCGCTTCTTGTTTTCGGGTGTACACTTGGAAGTGAAGGACCTAGGAGCTAGTTTTGCAGTGGGAGATCACAAATCAATCCCCAATCCAAGCGCTCTCCGGAAACCTGATCCTTCAGTTATCGCGGTATCCCTTCTTTCTGCCACTGCAAAGATATGCTTCTCAAAGTTATTTGTGTTTTTGTTGGTTTCCCTCCTCCACCTCCCAACATAACGCACCTGTCTATAAGGTGCAGTCAATGTTCCACATTCCAGGTTGATGGTCTCAAAGAAACAAAGCCGTGAAGTCCAAGTTAGAAGTTGGAGTTCAACTACCACTACTCGCACTCCACCCAGGTCCTTAGTCCTTACGTCACACCCACTTGCCACCACCGGCCACTGCAGCGCTTCACCCACTCGCAGTCTTTCTTCGCAGCGCTGCGCGTGCAGCGAAGCGCCCGAAAGAAGCACGGGCGCATCGCTGAGAAGGGCGGTGGCGTTCTGCCAGTGGAGGCCATGTTGGACATCGGTTGCCTTAGAGCATCTTGGAGCGTGAGGATTGTTGTGGATGGAGAATAACTAGATGTCACAAGGGCCCCCGAGTTGGGTGGTGCACCATCTACAGGACATTGAAGGGGTTGTGCCATCGAACCTCTGAAACCGCATATGGTAATTCGATGTACCTCCCCCTCCCCCTCACCCCTTCCAACACTGCCACCGGAGGTCTTGTCCCACATGGGTCGGTCGGTCGGTGAAAGACGGTGGATGAAATGGCGGTATATGGCGGTCGCAGAGCTCAAACCATTGGTGTTTGCGGGCGGCTCTTGGGCCTTCTTCAACCCTGTTGACTCTGGGCGCGGACACGAGGCTAGCGTGGGTGAGAGGGACCTTTTCTGGAGGCACCAACAAAGGAGCTGCTTTCGGGTCGTTCAACGATGGCTGTGAGCGACCACGAACAAAAAGACCACCTCGGACGCCCAAGAGGCCGACTCCCCGAAGAGACTGCCCAAGGACCGGAGGAGCCAGCGGGTCACCTGCGGCGGAGCCGGATGACCGGGAACGAGGGAGGGAGCCTGACTGGTGCACCGAGCCGGAAGGGGTAGGAGGAGGAAGCGTTGGCCGCGGTGGAAGGTGGGTGAGAGAAGGAAGAATGTATACCAGGACCTTCAGGACGTGACCTCGTTGGAGTCTGTATACGATGTATACGTGACCTCTTTGTTCGGGACGAGTTGTGACCGACCCGCCGTCACTGGGATCTCAAGGACGGTCACTTTGGTCCTGGTACCGTCTGATTTGTCAAGGCAGGATTTGGGGGGGGTACTACACTCCCTGGAACGCCGGGCCACCGTAGATAGGATGGCATGGCCCCCGACGACCTGGTTTTGACCGTCGATCGAAGAGGTGAGTTGATGTGAACTCCTCTGAGAACCTCAGGGAGTGTAGTAGCAAAGGCTCTCACATTCGAAGCCATGACAGTATCGTGAGAACAGGCGTTGGTTCGCCTGTTTGTCCCTGGGCCTGGGTGTTTCCATGTGTTGCACTTAAAGATGGCCGCCTATGTTCCACAAACCGTCTTGGGACTGATCTGATGGCAGGCCTTTCAGGCCTTTCAGGTGGTTTATCAGGGGTTGTCCAAAGCCACCATCCATCCGAGCCGAGCTGTTCCAGTTGTGCGGACATGCTGTTCCATGCGGACCGACCACTCTCCACTCTCGCTTCGGCAAACGTCCGTGTCCGCGGGGAGTTGTCGAACCCTGCCGCCACTGAGGCTGTCGGATCACCCCGCAATTCGTGCGCCTTGAAGCGGCAAAAGCCCGCGGCCAGGAGGAGAGCCACAGCGTGCCTCAAAATCTGTACACAGCCAAGAGGAAAGCAAAGAGTAACATCAGGTAACTACGGTAACTACAATCAAAATGCATCCAACCGATTGACAATGATTGAAGTTATATATGTGATTCTTTGTGGTTCTTCAATCTGGATCTTCAAATGGACTTCTTCAAATCAGTGGGTATGCCCTTGTGAACTCTTGTGTCGTCACTTCTCTAGATTTCTTTCACTTCATTGTCCTCATTTCGCTGATTGGGCCGCCTGGCCAAACTACGAACATTCACCCAATCTGTGGATTTCAGCTTTAAGATGGACACAACAACCAGGAAAAACATATCACCTCCTCCTCCTCCTTCTCCTCCTCCTCCAGGCCCAAGCGTTGGCTCCTCCTCCGAGCGACGCAGAGCCCCGCTCCAGACTCACGTGCTGTGGCTGGAAGCCTGTTGAGCGAAGGTGGTCGAGCGGGATACGATGGCGCCAGGGTGTGTGAGCCGGTGTGGGATTCAGATTGCATGTTTTGCATTTTTATAATCATGTGTATAGTACTATATACTAGTATATCCCTGGAAGTCCGACGTCCTACTTTGTAGGGTCCTCGGATTTGTTGAGAAAAGAGGTCCTATATAAAAAGAACATCGGCGATAATCTTCCATTCAAGGTCGGAGGTCCTAAAAAGAGCATCGGCGAGGGGGCTATTTGATGGCCCCTCACTGCTGGTGTTGGCTTGATTGAGGACATTTGGCATCGTGCAATTCCAGACCTTTATTTCCCACCAAATAAAATAATCAACACCCTCATTATTTGCTGTCTGCTCATAGCTAGCGTGAGCCAGCGTGAGCAAAGGTCCTGAAAAGTACCTCGGAGGTCCTCTAAGGCACAAAACAACCTCAACAGGAAAACAACATCCCCCAGCAAAACGTGAGCAATCGTGAGCAATCGTGAGCATTGGCATGGCATCCTACACACTTTTGTGCGCAATTTCTATGAATCTGAATGAGGGGACGTTTTTCAAGATTGCTCACGACCAGGGTTGTGATTAAATTAATTGTGGACCAAGGTTTCACAGGATCCATCCCCTTTGCTGGGTTTCCTCGGATTCCTCGGCGGTGAAACCCAGCAACTTCTATGGTTTCTCGGACATCGGCCTTTTAAGGACCTCCTCGGCGGAGGTCCTACTTTTAAGGGTCCATGGACTCTGAGGGATATAGTACATGTTTTTAGATGAGAGATCCAAAGCAGCCTCCTACAGAACATAATATGGCAGGCGGTCGCTTGCATGGTCTGGGCAGTAGTGAAAGCCCAGTCTGGACACATTCTTTCTGAGCTTTGAACAATTCTTGAACTGTGCTAGGTACAATCTACCGGCACCTTCTGCCTTCTCCTGCCTTCCAACAAGCATGGAAGCGCATGGTGCCCTCGAGTATCTTGAGCGCTGTCCCCGAAGAGAGCCCAGGCGACGGATGAATTGAATGCCTAGGACAAATCGACGGATTCACTGCCAACCTTCTCAGGTTCGGGCACCACTGGACGAAATCGCAATCTGTCAGTGTCAAAGTACATCACCCTCGGAAAAAGGGGTGTGGATCCATCGGGGCAAGGATATGATCCATCCATCGATGGGCCCTGGAAGTTGATGATACCCAGGAAGAAGACTCCAGTCCTCAACAAGGGAATCTGGGAAACCAATACGTGAAGACTAGTATAGGCATAGTCTGACCAAAGGAGGGGTACATCAGGCTACTCAAATACATCTAAGTGAAACATCATGAATCCCCCTGTCATGAAAACATCTATACCATGTACCGGTTCCATGGGGTTTCACCCGCGCAACGCCTCCAGGCGTAAGGCGACGGCCACAGGCGCGATCCGATCTGAGGTTCCCAGCTCTTAAGGAGCGACAGTCCTCAGATGCAGAAGTGCGCCAAGTAATCCAAGTACTACAGATAGGACATTGCCTGAAAGCTTTTGATGTACTTTATACAGTCATGTCATGTCTACAGCTTGATGTTTTAGTATGTGATTTTTTGTTGAGTCAACACCATGTCCGAAGTAGTGACGCTCCCAAACTGATAACATTGCACATACAAACTGCATAAACCGCGATAACGACTGGGTCATGATGGGCAAATCATCTACCAAACGTGTACTACTCTGCAGGTGTCGCAGCCTACTACAAGTCCAGCGACATACGTGCACCGACATACGGAAGGAGACACGTAATTAGTGCAGTGGTCCATCATTGTCCATCTATCATCTCAGTCCTTTTGCTGCCGCTTACGAATAATCTTCCAGGTCCAAGGTGCGGTTTTGGTTGCCAGGATCAAATGCTTCTGCTCATAGGCTGACTGCAAGCGTACCGGCACCTGCAAGCGTGAAGAGATGCAACACATTTTGACTCCCTGAAACCCAGGCTTTCCAAAGCCGACCATCTCAGGCTCTGAGGTGTTCTGAGTTGGCATACTGAATTGGCAGCCAAGTCCTCTTGACACTGCACCTTTGCGGCATAGACGAGCAGCCGAGCTGCATGTGTTTTTGGAGCTGCATCATCTGATCCACGAATTCAAGTCCCAATGGCATCCTATTGGTATTTAGGATTGCCCTTGGCTGCAAAAAGAGTAGCCCAAAGCGCTAGCTGCTAAGCTGTTCGAGAAAGGAAGTTAGCCGCCCTCCACCCATTTCTTCGGAGAACTTCCGTGCAAACGCCATTGGCCACGACTTTGGACACTAAGGGCATCTGGTACAGACACTGAGGGCATCTGGCACATCCGCCACTGCAAACAAGCAAAGCCACACACCGAGCTAAATGGAAAAGCGTCCCTCAACCTCAACCGAGCTTTGCAGTGAACCACATGCTGCTGGGAGAAAGTGTACAAAAACCTCTCATCTCCAGGATCAACTAAGGGATTATCCAAAAAATAAACCTACGCCAAGGCTATTTTCCGAGAAACATCCATTGGCCCCATTGATGGCATATACCAAGGTGAGGTGTCTGGGGGTTTCCACCCACACCAAGAAAGGAAGCTGCGTTTGAGTGGGTGATATGGCATATGGCCTTCAAAGAACCATGTCATGGATATATAGTCGTTTCAACAGCTGCCCAGTCTGTTTTCTGCCCAGTCTGATTTTCGATGCGTTCCATAATCCCAAAGGACGCCTTGGGGAGCTGAACTTCCAAGAACCGGACCAATTAATTAACTTATATATATATATAACCCCAAACACTCCATGTATGCCATATATGCCTACATTGGGGTGGTTTGAGGGGTCAATGTAGGCATATATGGCATACATGGAGTGTCTGGGAACCTAGAATTAACCTGCTTTTTGGGGTGTCCTGACTACAACAGTCGGTAGCTCGTGGCTCAGCCTATTAAATCCAAGATGGACCAGGAATCCGAAGTTGAACCCTGCTCCATCGCACCCATCGACGGCCTCCTCTGCCGAGCTGCCGGTGTAATGGAGACGGAAGCCTCGTGAAGCTGGGCCGTCCCAATCCCCAGAGATGACCTATTTGGGACTCCAAGTGCCTCAGAAGGTATTTGGAGCCCTGGGGTATGCCGACATGATGTCAACCCCAGGTCAACCACCGCAACCGATCGGGAAAGATGACAGTCCCAAACAGGTCGTGTCGATCGGGTGGAGCTCATGTAGCCACGGCTCGAGAGCCTCCCACGTCCGAACAAAAACGACCCGTGGTTCCGCCATCGACGTGGCAAAAGGCAAAAGGACACATCTAGGAAACGACCTGACAACTCTCAAACAACCTGAACACACCTGAAGACTCCCAACTGAATTCACGGTTTGTAGGAGTTGGTAGGGTCCCACTCCTGTCTTCATGTCCTCGAATTCGCTGTCTGACAGCTCAGCTTACGCCTTCCCAGTCGGACCTTCGACGTCAGAAACGGAAGGGGGCCATACAACTCCGACAAGGAAGCTGTTGAAACTTATTCACTTTGTCATACTCTTCCGAAATCCATGTAGAGGTTGGGCAAGCCGTTTACTATATAGATGTATGTATATAAATAAAAGGCTGTGCTCAACCTCCGGCAGTCAGTCTGGCAGGGAGTACAATACAACATCACTGAATCACCTTGCCAATCCAGAATACAGGATACACCATCATTACCTCATTCCTGATTAAAGTCTGGCCTGCAGTGTGATGACAAGTATGTACTGATCTGTATCTGCCACATCCCTGCCTGTAGACATCCAAGTGCTTTCAATGAATTCCAGCACTCCCCTACCTCCAACTTGTCTACCTCGCTAGGTGCCATCCTAGGAATAAGAAGTCTAAACTTCCACTGATCGGTCATGATCGGTGTGTCCTCTATATCAATTCACCCCGCGTTGCTATGAAACCATTTCTCAACCCTTTGCAATTGGTGAGCAAGACCCCTGACATGACCTGACTCATATATGACTCTATGTCTTTTGCAGGGGGGCTCGACATGACATCGATGGAGTCAGCATGGTACTAGTAGCAAAAGGAACAAAATAGCAATGGCCTCCACCCTAGTAGCGATGGACTCCACCCTAATAGACTGTTGATAAAATCGACCCCCCATGACAACAGTCGGGTTTTCTCAGCTCTTCAGCCGCCTTGCGCCAGCCACAGGCGCGCTTGCCATTCACCCATCAAAGGTGAAGACCAGGGTCGGTCTGACAAGAAGAGGATCTCCTGAAGCCACTGGTGGTGAGAACAACCCCTCTGGTGTGACATCTTATTTCATCTTACACCCAAAATTGGCACCATCCGCTTTTTCCACACGCCATTCTCGCCATGCGGCAGGCCAGCGTGGAGAAAAAAATGCCTGCAAAATGCCGCCGCCCTTGTTGGTGGCTGATCAACTTACTGTTGGTCCACGGCCGCGTCTCTGCAAGCACAAGGGTGGCTTCCAGTGTGGACCAAGTTCTGACTAGTGCAAGGTTGGCCCGTGCGTGCATGCCCGTGCCATGGCAATAGAGACGTGCTCCTTTGCGAGTTTTTAGTGACTAGTGGAAATGACTTGGGCAAGGGAGTGACCGAGTGGCCACGCTCCGAGAAAAAAGCCTCTCAGCCACAAAGAATGTAATTAGGACACTCCACTCCCCATGATTAGGGTTGTCAGTGGGCAGTGGCTGCTTGCTCAAAGGCCCCAGGGCTTTAGATGCTGTCTGACGCGAGCACAGCTGAAAGCTTGTCTAACACAATGGCCGCCAGCTGGTGGTCATTCTGCAACTGCCGACAGGTGCAGCGGACAGCGCCGACAGGGTACAGATATGGTCGCATTCCAGAAGGCGTGCAGGCGTTCGCCAGCCCAGACGCTCGCTACAACCGCTCAGGGAAAAGTCCAGGACTTGGTCAAGCTTTGGAGTGAAGAGCAGCTATGGACCAGATATGCTGAAGAACCCACATTTTCCAGCTGAAGCACGTTACTTGTACCAGCTTGGGCAAGCTAGGTCCAGCTGAAGGACCCACGTTTCAATGCCTGTCGAAGAACTTCGAAGGCCCATAGCACCCCCATATGGTGCCAGGCGGTCGGCGCGTCTTCGGCGCATCTTCGGACCGGATGTGCTGCTTGAAACGATGTGCCAAACGTGCTTGGGACGGCTCCAAAGGCCAAGCGCGGCATGCCTTTGGAGAAAATGTTGGACACTTCTCGCTGGCAAAGCTGAATTCTGGATTCTCATGGTCCTTCGACGGCCTCGACTCATTGATGTGTGCCACAACCAACGAGCCAGGGTCAGGACTGCGTGGGGTCAGGACCCAGAAAACGTTGCTTTGTAGCGGCAAATGGCCCAGACCCGAGGCCCGAGGCCTTACACTCATCTTTGTGCCAAGCACTCAGGAAGTGGCACTTCCAAGCCATGTGTATAGAGGAACATCGTCTTTAAAAGGGCCGGCCGGGTCCCATGTGGATCCATTTGGAAGGATGTGTTGTTGATGGGCTCAACTCACTTGAGAACTTTTAGTCAGGTTCAATCATCTTAAGTACAAATTGAACGCAATTGAAGAACATATCTGAAACCACCACCCAACTCAAGTCAAAAGCAACATCTTCTCCTGACCAGGGAGCTCGGCGGGAAGTGTGAGCGCCAAACGGCCAGACGCACAGCCCTGGGAGAGGAGCAGCAGCACCTCCTGTGGAGTGACTCCTGGAGCCAGTTTTCGTGCGCAAATCTCTTTCTAACAAGCGGAACACCCAAAAAAGATCGTGCCTGATTTTTGTGAACGCTCACTTCCAGTGTGGAGAGATATGTTCTGTGCGCACGACTCAATCTATGGAACCTGCTGGGGATGATTCCTGGCGTCGTTGGCCCCAAACTTCCGCCCTACCGCCCTACCGGCCCGCCATATTCAACCGGCTACAAACCAATCAAGTGCTGTACCTTCACTTGGTTTCCAGGTCTCAAGTATCAAAACCATCTCCGTTTTCAAGGCGCCCGTTTCTCGGAAGAAGCCGTTGGACGGGGCGTTCTGCAGCAGACGCGTGTAGCGATCACGGGAGATCTCGCAGAAGATGCGGCAGTGCCTTGGAAAAATGTCCGATCTCGCGAAGAGGTTTATGGCGACGAAAGGCGACGAAAGGATACGAAAGGCATGAATGTTAGACACGTCGCTTCTGGGTCTTGTCAAAAGACGTCACGACAGTCGCTTCGGCAGCCGAAGCAAGTCGAGTCGCCCCAGTACGTGTGGTTCGACCCCGCTGCACCCGCTTGTAGCGAATTCCACGACAAGAAGTTCCAGTGTCAGGACAGATACTCTCCCGGTTATTGACGTATCCCCCTAAAGGCTGTTTACTTCTATTCTTGGTTAAGTTAGTTGACCCGGAAGATCAGATCTATAAGCAGGACACGTTAGCGATTCAAAAGTTGTTTTTGCAAACATGTGATTTGGACAGGTTAGCTGCGTAGAGGTGTTTGGCTTGCAATGTGATCCTGGGAATCTAGACTAAAGTCATTATAAAACAGAACTAACATAGCCCGTGACGAAAATTGGCATCTCTTCTGTCATGGGACAGGTTAATCATGTTTTTCCATGCATGCTGGGTCGTTTTTAAACTCATTATGAAACCGTGTTCTCCGGTTATTGCCCAAAAAATATCGCACCAAAGCTGCACATGTTAGGGACTAGTCCCATATGCACCCTGGGACACGCAAATCTGGGGGAGTGTAGGCCCTGCAAAGACAAGGACACATAAGAAAACAAGTCGATTAGTCTCACCCAAGTCGATTCGGCCTTCTCTCACACATTGGAGGTGATTTTCACTCATCCAAGTAGGTCGGCCAATGACCTTCCATGACCAGTGAGAAACTGAGAAACCAAAGTAAACAAACTATAACGTGGTATATAGTGGTCCTCAGTCATAGATAGAATTGCACAGTTTCCAATACAATTTGTTGTGGGAAAAGACACATTTCTATAATACTCTATAATGTTCTATCTATTTAGGGGTCTATAAGCATAGTCCAGTGTTGGGCAAAATCTGGTGACCAAGTAAGGTAGCGCATCATGCCAGTTCTCATGCCATTCCTGCATCCGGATGTGAGATCGGTTGACCGGTTGCACACGGGGTCCCAAAAGGCGCAGAATCCATCTGCAACGCCCACCTCCAAACACCTTCAAGGTGCAGGTCATCCAAACAAGCATCTGGCTGATAGTACTGCACCAAAGCTGCTGCCTGGGCGCGTTCTCTCGGCACATGTTTTCCAGCTCCAGGCAATGTAAACCGTATTCTACATGGCAAACATCCGATGTGGTGCAGCGCAGAAGGGTCCAGCCCTGTTAGAAGCATGGAAAGAACAATGGCCAATACTTTCTTGGCCTGTCGCGAAACTCAGTCAGGAACAGCTAACTTGTCCACTGCGCCACGGAGTCGGGCGCGGTTTCGCTGGCAGCCGGTCAATCAAGTCATGAGTGGACAAGAGTCGTGACAAGAGCTGGCAATCCCCAGAACATGCTTATAAAGCACCAAACTCTGAATGTTACCCTGATTGCACCATTGGCCCATTTCTGAAAAACACATGGCAGTCGTCCTCAAACCAACACCAGTCCCCTGTCGGTGTCGAACCCCGGTGACGCACCTTCAGCACAAAGCCAGCCCAACCTGAGAAGCTTCTCAGTCGGCCATTTCTGGGCGGATTCTCATTGGAGGGGGTCCATGACATATAGGTGTACCACAAGGTTTGGCTAGCGGCTAGCAAGTCCCATTCAAGATTGTGTCAGAAAACCACAAAAAAACTCATTGGGAAATAATAGGACATATACGGATATGAATATGATATGGGCTTCAATCCCCAAAAAAACATTTGTTCCTGCATGTTCCGGTGCCTCTTGGCGTTCCGAATCCCACAAACACGTGTCGGTCATGTCCCTGACATGGTCCTCTCTTCACCCTGTCTCCTCCCACAACACGTCGCTCCCAGTCACAGAATTGTTGGTGGATCACCTCATCCTCAGGTGGCAGTAGCTCGTAGCTCAAGCTCCTCAGCTCCAATGTTGGGATGCTGAAACCCAAGCATACTGTGAAACATGGCATACGTACATGCACATATACCATCATAATACCATCATATAGCCGAGGGTGGTTGAAAAGGGGTCAATTTAGCATAGCACTGCCATGTGCACTGCCATGTCTGGGAGAGATGCCTCTTGAATCCTGAGGAGTGGGGTCATGAAGGGTTCTTTTACATCGCAAAACATCGATCCATGAGACTCGAAGAGTGGCACGGACCAAAGTACTCGGAATGACGTAGATCCGGCAGCCCGGCGGCGTGGGAATGACCTACTGGTCCGTGGATGGAGAAAAACAATACTTTTCAGCCAAGGCGCTGCTTCAACTTCTCGACTGCCTCGCAGTTGCCTTCGACCACCTCATAGCGGGTGGTTCGCTGCTCGTGCGCAAGCGCGGCGCTGCGCTTACCTTGAGAGAACCTTGGCCTTACCGACTTGGGTGTGGTTCAAAAACTTCACCCTACCACACATGGAAGGTTGACATCCCTTTAGTGGAATCTATGCATGTTGCAAAGGTCAAAAAGGGCTACAGGATGCTACAGGGTTTTGATCCATAGCCAAACCCCATCAATTCAAATTCGCGTTTGGAGTTCTCACGAGTTCTCTCAGCTCAGGCGTTTGGAGTATTTTTCTTGTGGACCAGGCATCAACATCTTCTTTTGTGGAGGGTTTCCTACATGAAGAGTTAACAACACTCACCAACCCCGCAAGCAGTCTAATTGCAAATCTCGAACAAGCTTTGGGCGGCACCGTCAGGCACAAACATAGTGAAACCAGTTTACACTCCCTATGCATCCACATCAACTCGTACCTTCTGAGGTACGGTGGTTGGAAACGACTGATGTAGGCGCCTGGTTTGGGCCCAAGCGTACCGAACGGTCCACCTGAGGTACAATGGACGGGCGCCTTCCGGGCAGCCTGGGCCCCAGGACGGACCCACATGGAACCTGAGAATGGACCAGACTGGAAGACTACTTTCCGTAAAGACACCGAGTGGTTTTGAGGTTCCATGTTCATCTTCCGGGGTGTAAATATGAAAAACATTCAAAACACCATTGTTTTTTTTAGCTGCCCTAAACAACGCTGTGAACAGCAAAACATAAGGAAACAAACAGAACACAATCCATGTTGAAACATGATCTTTCAGGGTTCTGTGGTCTGTGAACCCTACCAACAACATCTACAAAGCTACAGGGGGGTCCCACAGTTTGCCGGGCGATGTGTCAGACCACCTGCTGCCCATCCCAGGTCGAACAACGGCATCGTTTGTTTCGGAGTTCGGAACTGCTAACGAGGGACACAGGAGGATAGGCAAACATCACACGCAGAGGATCGCCAAAGTTCAAAGAACGTCAGCCACTCCTGGTGTGAGAATTCTAGAGAGGCCATCATGGCAGCATAACTATATGGACAAGTATCGGTGTAAGTCTGCACAAAGTAATCCAGAAGATCGGTGAAAAAGTTTCTGGCTCTACCAATGCGTATCCAATGAAGATCAAGTGCAAGTATTTAGTGTTTGGGTGGTCCATTGGGCACCCGTTGGTTAGTCCTGGTAGGTAACACACGGTAAAACATATGATTTTGTATCGTGCTAAGTTTTCCTTTGGATCCCCCATTCCCAACATCGATAAAAGTCTCGAGCTTCCAACGGGTGCTTCTGGTTCTTGGTGCGCACATGTGGACTTCATCCAGCCTGTTGAGGGAATTTTTGTTTCCGGGAATCTATCACCATTTCTACAGCCCGAAGATCAAATTAACAACACATGAGAACAAACCTCTGTAAAATCCCCGAAGACTGACTGTTAGTTCTGTATGGTTTTTGTTTGTTGGTCTTCATTCTTCACCTAGTGCTCATGTAGCTGGGACTTGTGTTCCCAAACAACGCATAAAGGACCATCCTTCCTCCGCTTCCTCGACAGCCTCGGTCGTGGGCCAAGAATAACATCCAACTTACGACCCCCTGTGGGCTGCTGAGAAGCGAACACTTTGCGGAACACGGGCTTTTTGATGCAACATGTGCTGTAGTCTGCGGTCAGTGTTGGTCTTGATGCAACACTCGGGGGAGACAACCGATACTTGATCCAACTCGTTAAGGAGGTGCAAAGGGTGAATGACCTGCCTGTGCATTGTGCATGACATATATTTTTTTTTGGCAATATGGCACGAACAGGCAATCCCAGCCTATCCCAGCCTATCCGCCTTTAAGGCTATGGCATATCACTGTGGCCACTCACCCTATCCCTTTTACATGTCCTTTCTTGGGACCCTCTCTCTTCAGCCGCAGGCCGAGCGCCTGATAGAAGCAGCCCGGCTGCAGCACACGGCCGTCCACCGGGCGCAGGGTCTCACCAGGGGCGCCTTCGACCCGAAGCTTTGCTCCGACACTGTGGAGCTCTGATACACTGCTCTGCTTTTAGAAGACATGCGCCCCGTCCCACCGCAGCGGTTTTGCATGCATGCATCATCACGTTGACCGATTTGATGAATGGATTTGAAGATGGTCTGCTAGCAGGATTGCTTCGTCAGCGTCTACAAACACGCAGTATCGTGTATAATATCTATACATTGATGCTTTGCAGTGGGCAAATCACCATTCTACCGCAGGTGGTGATTCACCAGGAAAAAACAAATGTCCCCAAAAGCACTCGCATGGCCAACTGGTGCTGGACCATTTCTTCTCTTTGGGACGTGGCATCCTTTCGCTCGATGGCCGTGCCGAACCGGATGCAGCAAGAACGGGTGAACGATGCATCTCAAGACTGATCGTGTCACCAAGAATTGAAGGAAACTATCAGAAACATCCCGGCAACTACCATGGGACCCCAGCAAGATCATGTAGACCCCAAAAACTAGATGAAACTTGGGAGGTTCTCCTTCCCCCAATTGCTCCTTCAGCCGCCGCAAAAGCCACCTGTTGGTCCAACCCACAAGAACGCTCGCGCGAGGCCACCGGCCGAGGGCGGCCTTCCGAGACGAAAGGCAACATCTCTCGGAGGAAGACGATGCCGAGGCCCGTGTTCATGGTGCCCATTCCTGGCGAATGGAATAGTAAAACCACTTCAACACGTCTTGTCCTTGCATGCCCTTGCAGTGTATCACACCGCTGACTACTGGGCTGACTCGTCTGTGCTTTCTGGATTTCTCCGACAGTTCTTCTCCCGGTCTCAGCGGTGAGAGAAGAATGGCCGCCAGGCTTCGATAGAGCTGTGTGCGGATCACGGCATCGTCGATGCCTGGCAAGGCTAGCGTTTTTTTCTTGTCGAGTCCAGTCCGTGAAAGAACTAAGCGGGTTTGCGGGGGTCACCAAGCGTGCAAAAACGAAGGCGACTCAGAACTTGCTGGGGTCGCCAAGGTAGTGTGATGACCCGATATTCATGCACGACTCTTCCACAAAGCAATCTTCCATCCAACAAACCTCAGAACAACTGCCAGAACTCTCCAGGCTTGCTGAGTGATGAGAATGAACCAATTCCATTCAGCTTCTGAATGCAGGAATGTTGTTTGTCCATGTCAATGGATATGAATGGGTTCTCTGATCTAGGGCTGGCATCATTCATTCGAGTGCACCGAACACCTCTTCGCAAGGTGCGTGGCATGTTTCCCAGATGCGTTTGGAGATTGTTGGGGTGCTCAACTCCACAAAGTGGCAAAGAGGTCATCAACCAACAAAAACGACCAATACCATGTCGCCCTACCAAAGCTCAAGAGGTGAACGTCTTGACTTAGAATCGAGGAAGCACATTCGCCCAACATGTGGATGTGGTCGCATCATTCTCGGTCATCTTGCGATTCGAAAAGCATCTCCGATTCATCAGATTCATTTGGTGCAATTGTTTAAGTCATATATATATTATATACTATATACAGTATACACCCGGGAAAAGTCCCACATGGAACAGGAAAATTATGAAAATTGACCTTTTGGAAGACTTTGTTCTCTACGACTCAGTCGTTTTCAGTTTCCATGTGGGCATCTTCCAGAGCGTTTTTTGTGACGGATGGGATCGAAACTGCCTGGTTCCACAGTCACACCATGCGGATCATCTACGCAATCTATGCCTCCCTCCCTCAAGATGTTGGGCACAGGGACGCCTGCTGATCTAGTCGGGCAACGACAGCCTAAAGTACTTCCCAAAATGAATCAGTGGAGCGCGAACAAGATGCGAAAAATCATATCCAATCGGCATGCCTCATAATGCTCATGAACCCTTCCAAAACTTCTGCCTCTCCCACCTGAGTCATCTCCGTAAAGGAGAGCGACTCGCTCCTTGGGGTAAAACCGCGACCTGGGGACAGCGCAAGCGGGGCTCTGAGGATGCGTTGGCAATTGATTTTGATGCAACAAATACAAAAGGAAACTCCTTGAAATCCAACCTTCACACAAACCCAACCCAAAGCCTACTAATTATAACTGTCCCTACTGTTGATGGAATCCTATGGGACCCAGCACCAACACTCAGGACTTGCACTCACAGCAAAACGAAACCCAAGAGAGTGCCACCCACAGGAAGGCTCCCAAGAGAGGGGATGTTCCCTGAAATCACCATAAGTTGACAGTGGTTTCAGAATAGATGGCACAGACTGTCACAGACCTCAATATGTTCTTTAATTACATGGGGGTTCATATAGACCACCTCTTAGGGTCTGTGCCACCTGCCGAAGACCAATCTGCCGGTGGTGCCATTCACTGGAACTCGTTCGTGGTTTGCTTCAGGGAGTGGACGCCACTTCTGATTGACCCGTGTGCTTTGAATGAACGCGCTACCAGTAGCCTCTTCGAGAATGAACACATTCACAGGACCGTGAAAATTTTGTCAACCTATGTAAACAATGCATCAAGGCATCACCTACTATCTTGCTTGGTGTGTCTCTTTGGTAAAATTTACTGCACTCACCCGAACTCACCCCGCCAGGGCGCACATCCATGTAATACTCGGGGACCGCATGGGCACGATCACCGAAGGGGGCATAGAAGTTGCAGGGTTCGTAGGGGCTCATCCTGAATGCAGGATTCCGTGACATCTTTCGTTCGCCTCAAACCTTCGCTTTCTTCAGGGCATCAGTGGCACAACCGTTGGGGTTTTGGACCGTGGGTTCTGCACTCGCCTGCTTCTCCACCCAGCGATCGGAGGCCCCCAGGGGTGCCCGCCCCAGTGCCCTGCAATGGTTCATCCTTGCATGACCCAGGATGGAAAGGGAATGGGGTGCGGGGTCAACCCGCTCATGCGAAGCATCATTCATGTAGATGAGTAATCCCCCCCATTGTCGTGTAGTAGACCGCTCTGTTGATCAACAACAACCACAACATTTGGATTGTTGAACCTCTTCATATGGAGGGTCTTGGAGGGTTGTATATATTTATCAAGATTCTAGTGGTCGAGTCGACGAACCTCCCGGTCCTTCCGAAGATGATGAGGTCGAACTCCCCTTGGTAGGAGGTTTGCGCAGGTTTGTAGGGAGAAAAAACATGGGAAGAGCACTCACAAATAGGAGTCACCAACAACAAATACAAGGAGCCCTTTGAATCCTTGTGGTAACTTTAGTGTTTATTTGGCACAATTTGGAACCAGGAAATACCGACCCACTCCAATACTCATCTGGGGGTACACCTTAATCACCTTAATTAATATAGCGTCCAAATTGGTTGGAAACCATACATTGCAATCTTACAACCTTCTTCCATACAAGGATCACCCATCCATCCATGTGGCAAGCAACACCTCTAAACATAAAAGCAACCGAAGCAACTTGCTTCCAGCTTGCTGGCTTGCTTCCCATGAGTGAGTGGAAACAAGACCAGGTCCAAGCCTCAGCCCTAAAAATCGGTCGAATGATCTGATTGGACTTCAGACGCCACTTATGATTCTTATGATCCAGTTCTGATCGGATGTCCAGCTCTTCTGTGTCTGATGAAGGCCCAAAGATCGCCACAAGAAGGTTCCCATCCAACCCATCCACCTATCTTTGTTGAAGGCCCAGACAATGAAGATGGGACCGGAGAAGTTGCCTACAGTTGGGTGGTTCCAAGGTAAATGGCACAAACCCCAAAAGGCCAAAAGGTGGTTTATATGGACCCCCTATTGAAAAATATACTTGGGTTTGGGCAATCTGCTCTGAAACCTCTGTCTTCTAGGGTGGTTTTGAGATGGTTTTGAGAACAAATATTCCTTGAGAGTCTATCCAATTCGGGCCCAGTGGATGACCCTGGGCCCTGTGGATGACCCCGGGCCTGTGGATGACCAAATTAGCTTGCGGGCCTTGTTCAAACATCATTAACTAGTAGTGATGTTCTTGTTTACCGACTGTTGCAGGTATATATGTTGCAGGTAATAGGAAACCCCCAAACTATTCCATATATGGATTTTGAGGGTCTTGGGGTTCCAAGCACCAAACACACGAAACCGGTGGGCCCCGCCCGAGCCCCACCCATTCAACGCCGCGCGGCGCTGGCGGATGCGCTGGGACAGGTTGGCGCGGTTGAGGTACGGGCGCTGATCCAACTTGAAGCCCAGGGTGAAGCCTCCGCCGTGACCCGCTCACGCGAGCTCAAAAAGGCGCGAAAATGGCGGTGAAAGGGTCATGACCCAGAACCCAGGCATGGCCCCCGTTTTGAGAGGAAAAGGAGCATATTTGGGATGAGTATGTGGTCCAAAATGGTCCAAAATCGATGTCATAACCTGGTTCTAGGTATGATGAGGATGGATGGAACTCATCGCAAATTGCAATGAATGAGGATGATCAAAAAAAGCAATGACCAGCACTTTCAGAGGCATGGTTTGCACCTACATGTATGGAACCTACATGTATCCAACCTCGTGGTCTTTCCAGTAGACCAATGCTCTACATCTATATCGGTAGGATCCCAATTTTTCATGCACACCATTGCACACCGCCAACCTGGGTCAAAACACATTTACTCTTGCCTCTGCTAATATCGGCTAATGTAGACTCTTGATTCATACCCACCATTTTGTAATTGAATGCAAACACCTCTTCATATATATATATATGGAGATTTTCAACATCACTATCCTTGAGTCAAGCCAGCATCCTGCAGCTGAGGCACCTTGGCCCCAGATGTTGGCACGTATCCGGATGTCTTCCTCAATGTCTCCGCCGTTGTCCTCACAGATGTCACGCCATGCCGGAAGCATCGGCATGACGGCTTTTCTGCCAGCAAGACCACATTGGAAGAAGTGGATTAAAGGGACCAGTTTTATGGTTTCATGGAGGTTGTTTCAAGTAAACAATGGATGTATCTTGGGTCTATCCTATTACCAGTAGCAATGGATCATGATGGTTCGGTTGCAGGCCTTGACTGTTACAAGTATATAATAGAACAAACCCAAGATGTATCCAATTACAGTATGTTTTATTATGCTGTTTTATGGTCAATGCTTTCAAGGTTCAGGCGTGCCCAAACGGGTACTGACTGCATAAGTGTCACAAATGGTTCGCCATGGTTTTCCATGTTCCTCTACCAAACGCCTCGAGGAACAGAACCCCCCAAAGAGTGTGAAGCGAAAAGGACATGTGTAAACAGTTCCTCTGTCCCAGACACTCCATGTACGGTTTGTAATATATGCACATGGACCCCTGACACCTCCCCAATGTATATACGCCAGTCCCATGGGAGTGTCTGGGTGTTACACTTCTTCTTTTCGACCGTCACTTGGGATGCTTAGCCTGTCATATCAGCTTGGACTCTGGTGTCAGTCCGTTCTTTGGGGGTTCCCTCTAGAACAAAAGACCCTCTGTGCTACAGCACAAGGAAGGTAAGAAGGAAAGGCTCGGCAACCAACGATCGGATCTCTGGTGCTTCTTCCGGGTCAACTGGGGTGCGGTGGTCCACCTTCCAAGGTCAAGTGGCAACATATCAGCAAGCGCTACGGCTGCCACATGCTGCCACCGTGGAACATGCCCTCTCCTCAATCCACAAGTACTCCGGTTCTCAGTACCAGGCCCCTTTTGAGGCCAAAAAGGCCGGTGGACAATTGAAGTGAACTCCCTGGAGGTCTGGTTCCGGAGTCCGGTTCCGGCGCCGAAAGGCCGAAAAACCTTCTTCTTCTTCCAGCGGTCAACCGGGGCTCGTTGAGCGTTTTCGCCGTGAGAGGTGTGATTTTTGCGGAAGCCGACTGGACTCTGCACTGGGCGCAAGGCACGGTTGGTCTAGTCTAACAGATTCTAGGATTCTAAGAGTCACAGCGTGGCAACAGTTGGTCCAGTTGGTTAGTTGGTTGCCACAAACAGCGGTTTTGAAACGCACTCCTGGCTGGAAAAAGAACGCCTTTGCGAACTTGCACTTCAGTGGTCATTTCCTTTGGGGTGGATGTCCATCCCAACTTATCCTTGTAGGTTTGGTGTCCGGATTGCCGTCCGAGCGTCATAACGGTAAGCATATGTGTACTCTGGCACGTCGATGACCCTGTCTTCGCTGGCTTGGCAAGCGATCATATACATCATTCTACATACCTGTAATACACACGTTTCAATATATTGACCCCAAATAGATAGACAAGTAGATCCCCACTAAACATGTATTGGGGATCACTAGTTTCAGTATGTTCATTTGGCCCCTACAGCCAAAATAATGGATCCAGCAATCCAGCAAATATGTCCCTACAATCACCTGTTGACCTGTCCCTGACCCCAATTCCCCGGTTCTCAGTGTACAACATGGACTACATTGTGCTGGGCTAGAAGTGGTGCCTCCCTTGAAAGGAACAACTCTTGACTTAAGCAAAGAACCAACAACTTCCAAGGATCACAACCCTACTCAGTGATTGATTACATTACACATTCACGGTTCAAAACCAGTGGAATCACAAAATTGTATACAGTTCTCCTCAATCGACCCATGGCACTCCTCCAAAAAGCTCCTATTTTAGGCCCTGGCACTCGCCTGTCGCCCAGTAGCGAGACCATGCCGTGGAAGACGGAGGCCGTCCTGGGATCCGGATCCCGCTTGAAACCGTCTTGGTTGAAATAGGATGAACTCTCCGAATATGTTCCACACATGCAGCCAACCTTGAATGCCTGAATGCCTGAATGATGTACGGTGCTGGACTCTGGTGAGAGAATGTCTTGAGACTACCCCAACCATCCAATGGGACTAGAATAACTACATGCCATGGGACGGGACTGCCCCTAAATGCTATAGGCAACTCTTCCAGTCCCATTCGTCTGGGACCTGGTCTGGGCTGTCAGCCCCGCACATTCCGCTGCTTGGTCTAGGCAACCCCCTGTGCATCGGAGCTTCAGGTAGGAAGGGAAGTTGTCAAAGGGCGAGCAAGGTAGGAACCTGGGCAGCGAACGAACGAGTCTTCGAACTCGATTGAGCAACGAATCCATGCATGGAAAATCGAAGATTTGATAAGATTTGCCTAAAGAAAATGCTTGACTGTAAGTCCTTTGAGGGCTTAACATGGTTTAACAAGTATAGAGATCGCGCAACATTGCTGCGGATTTGACCCAAAGAAAAGCTCGTTCCCGGGGAAAAGCTCGTACTGGTCGTGGAGGGTCATTTCGGAACAAACATCGAGCTCTCTCGCTCAACACATCGCTCATCATCGCTCCGTTGATTCGCTTCCGAACAACTGACCCGACGTCTTCTTTACTTGGTCTGTTCGCAGCAGCGGGTCCACCCGAACCAATCCGAACCCTTGGAACCGTTCAAGGTCTTCACGCACAACTTGCGCAGAAAAGAGTCAGAATTTCTTGCTTCTGCAAACGGGCAGCTTGTCCTTAAAAGGGGGACATACGGTAAAACATGTGACCACCCCGCAAACGCTTGAAGTAAACATGTGAACATCTGGTACATCTGCTGTACTTTGATTGAAATGGATGGCAGAGCAAAGCATTCAAATCACTCGATGCGCACCAAAGGGTGGGATTCTTTGATTCTGTTTGATTCTGCTTGGAGAGGAGAAGGCCGTCAATCCCGCCGTCGCAGGTTGACACCTTTGGTGGTTCGATTTAAAGATTCAAACCCAGGGCTGCAAGGGCCCAGGGCCGTTCATCCAAATGTTCTGATTGTATAACTCACTTGAGAAGGAGGAGACACGAAAGTGAGTAACTGATGTCATCCAGAACCTCGATTAACTCACACCTAGCTCTCAAACTTCTGGATCGAAGGCACAACACGCGGGCATCGGACTCATCCACGTTTAAGGTACGAAGGATGTACCTCAAACAGGGCTGCCAAACATCATCTCAAGACTGGTTGGATGAGGATACACGAGCGTCTGCCAAAACGTACTGTCAAGCAAAGGACATGATTGAGCAAGGTTATCGCTTTTGAGGGGGGCCTATCGCTTTTGGAGGCTTTCGCCCAGTTCCTGAGATTCATGACCGCTCTTTACAAAATGATTCATTGCACGTTGTGACGGTTGCGATATAGGTCGCTCCAACGAGTGAAACAACAGGCGAAGAGGTGCCGCCTTGAGGCGCGGCGCGCCGGGTGCCGGGGTGCTCAAGCGCCCAAACAGTCTACATGAGCAGGTACATTAGGTGGGTCACATCGATTGCTTGAAATCGGAGTTGCAAAGAGTCCCACCAGGTTCAACCAGTGGATTTGTTGCACCGGAATCACTTGGCCATGGGGTCCGGAATCCCAGCGAAGCATTTACAGTTCAAAGGTGAAATAGGTCAGGTGACATTGACTAGAGAGGGTATGGATTCTTCTTTGGACAAGTACTACATTACACTACTGGTCGTGCATTTGCAAATGAGTCCAGCTTCTGCATGAGAACCTCATGAGAAGCTGATGCCACTGCAGGACCTGCGAATCAGATTTTGAGCCACCTTGGTGGGCTCCAAGCATATCCTCAGAAGGTGGAAACAACCCCCCCCTGGCACCCACCCCACCCCATCTTGTCAGGTAGTTGGAGACCTACTAGAATAGGTGGGAAAAGTGCTGAGCACTAGGCACCTGGGTAGGAGCATCTCTATTTGCCAAGATATATATCTTTCCGAAATAACACCCGAACCAACCCGCGATTCCAGTTACCAATTGACACCTTTGCCGAACCAACATGCAAGAAAAACATATCTTGATCCCCAAAAACAACACGACCGAAGCCATGGGCCTCTTCGTTCAACCCTTCCGTTCGATCTTGTTCGATGGCCCAAATACCCTGAACCCTCGCCCACCTGGCGGTGCTCTCAGTGCTGATCTTCTCCTGCGGACCCATGTGGCTTCCCGTGCGGGTCTGGACGTCACGGCAAAGCCGGGCTGACCACCAACCCCAAAATGCCCCCAAAGTCTTGCATGAACTCGTCCTATCAAAGCAGGGGACAAATGGGTTCTAGCTGCACATTGCATTACGAACAAGTGGATTTTAACACCTGCCTGCAGGTGATAGCAATTTTGGACAAAGAACCAGAGACATTGCTCCCAGAAACTCGCTTGCCAACCAAAAACATCCGTGGCCTTGCGAATTGATGGATAAAACCCCGGCACACCCTTGAGATACTTTCTGGCACGTTGGTTGAGCTGCAGTCCCTGGTCCATCACCGGAGGGCCCACCCCACAAGTTCGGCCGTTCCGGACGTTCCCCTCGAAAATGGAGGCCTGAAGCTAGGCCGAGAGCATCAGCATTCTGGCCATCCACATGCCATCGCCTCTATGGATCTGACAGAAAGCATCCGCAGTTCGACATCCACCACTTCCACCTCCACATCCACCCGCTCCGCCCTCTCCTGAGCCCAACGGAGCATTTCCTCCGCCAAACCCTGCGCGCGCAGGTTCCGCAGCGAGCGCTGTGCCTCGGCCTCGCCGAGCGTTGTGTAGAGGGCCTGGCGGGAAGGTGGAGGGCGCGGGGAAGGTTCAGTGCGTGGGTGATGTACAAGATAAGCTAAGCTACAATCGCTTTGAAAGGTTGATGTTTGAGCCGGAGATCCCGTAGGAACATTCAGGTTAGGAACGAAGGTGCATCTGTTTGATTCAAGTGAGGAAATCAAGGCCCAAAAAGCTTAAAGCGGATGAGCCCTGCTTTAGAATGTTTTCAGGTCATGGTTGCTTTGGCAGGTTGCAGTGCCACAATGAATGTTCTTGCCGCGCATGTGCTCGGATTAGAGTAGCACTTTTGTGCTTGGTAAAAGCACCTCCTGCCATTGTTCGGATGGTATAAATCGTTGAGCGCACCTGAGTTCCAAATCTGAATATAGCGAGAGTTGCAGATGTTGCTTCAATTCACTTGGCATTTCCTTGTACCAAAGGAACCACTGGCACGTGCCAAAGCAAACCTGCACGCTTGCCAAAGCAAAGCTTTCCAAGTGGTTCTTGAAACTATTTAATGCTTTGCTCAAGCCGAGAATCTAAAGTTTTGCGACTTTTTTGTTGGCAAAGAATTGCATGCTTCCCTTGAATTGCATGCTTCTCTTGAAGTGGTCGGTGGTGACTTTGATCTCGCGATCGTTGACACATGGTAGTGTCAAAGGTGTCAGAGTTTTTCGTGTTCTCACTGATGTGCTAACGCACACGTAAGTCTCAACTTCAACAGTTTCGCATGTCTCCTTGCGCATTGCCCTTTCAAAGTCTCCTTCACCACTGCCCGGCTGGAACTTTCGCTCATCCATGGGACGAATGAACAGAACTGTGGGATCACTGCAAACCGGCAAAACTGACACGAGTCCGCAAGTGGCGATATGTCATCCATGTTAGGGCAATTCCAGAAGGTGAGATATAGTTCTGGATATGTATTCCACTTCGGAAGGTGACTTTGTGCTCGGCTTTCTTTCCAAAGTGAAAAGCAATATATGCGGGATGGAAGGACACGCTACCACTTGCGTCAGGGGCGTATGGGTGGAAGGCCCTGTATACGCCAGTATACGCAGTAGTTCCACAGTACTTTCGTTAAAATACAGTGGTGTCGACCCTTTATTAATAAAGCTTGCCCGTTTGAAGAGGTTTTACCATCATACTGGGGGGTCTATGAATCAGGAGTCTACATGATTGGCCCCTGAGTCATGATCTCGCCATGGTGTTCCTGTGCCTTAGCTTCGGTCAACAGGGCCCTGGGCAAGGTTCTCAAGATGCTCTTGGGCAAATGCTCCTGAACGTGCCATGCAAGGGTACAAAGCCGTCAAGCATGTCATCTGCATAAGAACACTGACACATCCGGATGAGAAACAAACAACATGAGGGTTAATATTTATATGTGACTCTCGGAAGAAGTACAAAAGCAATGAACAACAGATCTTCTCAAACCTGTCTTGGATGTTTTCTAGTCTCTTCGAGGACATCGCTTCAAAAAAGAACTGCTGTAAGAGGCTCCCCCACCCCCCAAATGGATCGGTGACTCGGTCGCGCGGTGAAACTCCGACGCAAATAGTCCTGACGTTAGAAAAGCAACAATACATATATATATATATAATGTTTACAAGGTAGGATATGGTAGGAAGCACATGTGGCAGATGTGTCCATCGAATGGTTCTTGCAACGTTGCCGTGCTGACATATATGTTAAATTAATAGAATTGCAACATGTCAAACGCCAAACATATGTTCCTGTTTGTTCACGTGTTTAATCACAGTGTGCACAAAAATCACAAAGCACATATAATTAACTATATCCTGTTGATGGACAAAATCCTGCACCACCTCACCTCTTTACCCTGGAAGGGTCGCATAGCAACTCCCGCGCCCCTCATTCAATGTTGGCGCGAACCCCTCTGAGGAGGTGGTGCGGGATTTTGGACCTTCAACTTGTTTTTGTTTTCTCACTGTGGTGGCCCCAATGTTAATGAGGGAGAATGAGGGCAGCAAGAAACATGTGCGCAAAGTGGTGCAGGATTTTGTCCATCAACAGTATGTCATATGTTTCAAAACATGTTTAACAGTTTAGCTCTGTTTGGGACCCTTTTGCTACATCTGCCAGGACTGCGGGTTTTCTTTGATATCGAGTTAACCATCGCATTCCGTGCGCTCCCTCCTTCGGTCAAGGCGTGAAAGTGCAGTGCTCTCAGGAAGCGGTTCATATCTGTTCATAAGCTGCTGCTCCTTGATAAAATACACACGGTTGCGAAGCATCTGCTTTCTGTTTTGGGGCTCCAGGGTCGTAATATGGCGAGTTTTCTCTGACGTCAAGAAAGAGCAAACGAATATTCTTTAGAAACCATGTTCATCAATTGGTCTAAGATGTCGGCCAGAGTTTGCGGCATGTGTTTCGATTCGGACTGAAACGATCAGGACTCCATGGACTCCAAGGACCAACGAACTCCACACGCCAAGAATCCAAATCGTGAAAGATCGGGATGCAGCCATTGGCCATGAGCTCATAATGCCTCTCTCACAGCACTGAAGCATTGACCAAAACCGTCGATTGGGGGCCTAATCAAAATTGTGAGTAGCCTAATTAGCAAAACCCTGAGTGGAATATATGTGCTATGGGAAGGACCTCGAAACCCATTGTATTGTGGATCCAATGCATGCATGTTTTTCTCAAGTGAGGGTCTCAAAATGATTGAAAAAAAGCAACATTCATTAATATATAGGATCTGTGCTGCAGGATTCCTATGGAATTCATTTTGGGTAGGGGGGTGTCCCTTTCCTGCTTGCTCTGGATTGTTGCCCTTTCGTTTGCGTCTTAGTCTGAAGATACACGAATAATAGGTCAAACAAGGGGCAGGTCCAATCACTTCCTAACCCACCCTGTTCACAAGAATTTGCTGTTTACTGTTTCCATTCGCCATAGGAATCCACGAACTCACATCGGAAGAAAAAGCCCATGTCGGGTCACGTGCCATGTCTTCTCATGAGGCGAGTTCACTCAGGCGACAATGGTTTTGGTTTCCAAGGCCATACTTCACCAACCCAACCAGTGTCGAGACCTGCCGGAGCCAGACCCCACGGTGACGACTCGGTCGTCCCCGTGGGACCACTGAAAGGGTCGCCAGCCACACGGTGACGAAAAGGCGTTGGTCTCGGGCCGTGGAGTCGGGGGAGGGGCTTCAGGCTCCACGGACTCAGAGGATCCGGATCCGTGTTCGTACCGGTAGCGACTGGACCCGACTGGCTGGCACCGGCAAAGAGTGGTGGAGACACCCCATCACCTGCTTAGAAGTTACTTGGATCCCCAGGGAATATGATTGGTAGCTATATACATGCAGCTACTCCCTTAGCTACTCAAAGGTTGATATATGATGGCCCATTGGTATACATGTAGCTATATATATATATACTCCCTTTGCAAAATCATGCACATGATCCATCATGACCCTAAGCAACCCATGTTGCACCTCACAAGCTCCGCACCAGTGCGGGCCCCCCTATAGGGTCTCCCCTTAGGTCCTGGGAGGTCCTAATACCAAACGGCACTCTCACGCTGTGGAAAACCGCTGGGAGAGAGGCCGATACGTCCACCGGCCTGAGGCAGTCAAAACCGCCCTTGCGGCGGGTGTCTCCGAAGTAGTGCTCTTGGATGTGCCGATGGTACTCCTCTTCCTCGCACCCCGAGCCCCGGATGGAAAGCACGAAAAAGACAGCACCGGGACCGGATGACGCGACTCGGACCAGCCGAGGCGAAGGGGACGGGGAAATTCGGCTTAGCGGAATGGTCCTGGAAGTGAACGACCTGGATGAACAAACATCATTCCAAACATGAAGACATTATAAACTTAACCAATGTGTGTGTGTATAATATATATATATACTATGCTCTTGCCTGGCGTGGGTGGGATCATGATGTTTGCAAAAATGAAACAGGAGGTCTCAATGGCATAAACCAACCAAATAGACATCACCACTAAACCTGTCACGGACTCAAAAGCACAAAAAACTGTTCAAAGGCTGGTGCTAGATGCCCACAACATCTGCAGTTTTGACTGAAAGATCTGCAAGATCCTGTGTCCAAATACGATTTGTGGCCTCGCGATGCTCCAGTTTCTCGCTTTCTCAAGTCTCAGCGAAAGAACTCCCAGTGCGACTGCAGTCCCCTACTGCTCACCGCGACCTTCAGCATCTCAGCTCCATCGGCTTCAGCTTCCGTCCGCTCTTGGTCAACAAATGTCCAAATGTGAAGAAAGAGAACGATGCTGGTTGACTTATGCACTCGGTACCCTGGCAGGGAGATTTATGCAAGAAGCACGATTCATCGTTCATCTGCTTTTCCGGGGACAAAAGGTGCGTAGAGAATGGAAACAAATAAGCAGCGATCGGCATCATGGATATTCTCCTCTGCTCTGTCGACACTGCATATGTTGCAGCCATGGAAGACGATCATGGTATTCTCCTGTCCTCGCTCCGGCTCAGGCTGAGCCGCCTGCAACACCTCGTTGACAACGATGGGAAGTTGAACAGTGAGTGTCGGGTTTCAACACTGGTTCTGATAATTTTCAAGCCACCACCCACTGCACCAAGCAAGTAGCCATCAGGCAAAGATTGTCCACACCAAAAGAAGTCGCAAAGCCCTGTACTAAAGTGAAGTTCAAGCAAATACAGTATATAAATGCAAAGTCCTCGTACTGTATAAGCTTTCATTGCACCATGTTCAATGTGTACAGCAATATCATCATGTTTGCACGTGATATGTACAGTACTGTTTTGCAATATTATACTATATATCTATATATCTATATATTATATATACACCCTGGAAGGCTCCCTGGAAGACTATCATGGACCCTGAAAACCACTGGTTGGTAGAGGAACTTGGTCTTCCATGGGGCCATTGTCAGGGTCTATGTTAGTTTCCGGGAGTGTATCTATATTATATATATTATACAGTAGTATATCATAAGGGATTTCCTTCATGTATTCCTCAGGAATTCACCCTCCGTTGTTTCGCTGTGACCCAAATATGGCACCCCACTACATCTCGCTTCTTTTCTGGAGCTGAACATGGAAGGGATTCCCAACCGACGACAGGTCCGGTCCAATAGCCCCATCTGGTCCATCCGGTCGTTCCTGGTGTGGGCCAAACTTGTAGTTTTTGAACTGGAAGGACTTCATGGAGTCGTTCATGGCCTCCCGGATCGACGGTACTGTCGAACTCTCCGCGGAGCCGGAGCTCCGCCGGCTCCGCGGCGACGGCGGAGCTCGGTGGTGGGAGATGCGCGGCACATGAGGTCTGGGATGTGGCCTCTCTTTCAGAAGATGGGAGGCTCATAGACCATGTTTCTTCTGGTAAAGGGTTGGTGACTTGCAGGACCCTCAAATAGAATAGTGGCCCCGTTCCATAGTTTGGGTGTATCTCAGCGCTACTACTGCAAGTATTATATAATTATGCGTTCAACATATGCTATGATGTGCGATATATCATAAGTTACCAATGGTTACCATAGTTACTACCCTCGGTTCACTTGGGGATCTCCAAAACTGTTTCTTTTTTGAAGCCATAGGAGTGCTCTAGAACTGCCAGCCTTGCCAAAAAATAGCTATTGGAACATGGGCGGCCTATGGAATGCCCTGGAATCATCACGGAACAGGAGTTAACCCCGGCTGGTTTGGTCTTCGGAAGTTTGGTCATTCAAACTTGGGGCCATCTTCCCATCCACGTAATAACCATGCATCAACTCGGCTCCAGCGAGTCAAAACAAAACAAACAAATTCCAAACATGTCCAAACCCTATAGGAATCCACATGGATCCACATACCTTCTCAGAAGGCACTTGGGTCCTCCACAATCACCTCTCAGAAGGTATGTAGATTCATACGGGAAAGGATTTTCACCACAGCCCTGGTTGGCTGGTGCATCATCTTCCCAACGAAAAACACTATCGCCGCAGCCAGCTGCGGCACCAGCTGCGTCTTCTTCGGCAGCTCGGACAGGATCCGGTCCTATGGGCAAGGGCTGACGGGAGAGATCTCAGTGTTCTGAGAGTCCTTAGATCTTTTAGGAGGTTGAGTAGCAAACCCCTTTTGTGACGACAAAACGTTCGTAGTTCGTCGCCTTCTCCTACAGGCCAGGCTTCATCCCAGAAACGGAATGGCGGTGTTTTCTGGAACAAATTGCCCCCCTCCAGCTTACTATACTGCTGAAGTCTAGAACTGAAAGCAAACTTCTCTTGCCCTCAAATCAGGCAGGGGTTCTCTCCGCATTGCGCGCCTGGCCATGTCCCTCAGAACCGCCAGAACGGATTTGCCGGTATGCTTTGTATGCCAACCCGCCTAGTCAAAGATCCGTATTGCTAGACTTTAGACCTGGGACCATCATGGAACGTCTGCTTCCAGCATCGGTGCCCCTCAGCTAATCAGCTAACAGCTACGAGTATCATGTGAATTTCTGCAAGCTCCTAAGATACATGTGCTTGCGCAAGGTCTTGCACCACCATCTCAATTCCCAAACCCCCCCAAAGCACTAGCTCATCAATCGCTGCAGCCTTGCTCTCGACCCTTCGGAGCTCCTCGTTCCGGTGGGGACGGTGCTCCGGACGCCTCTCCCCATGCAGTACGTGGATCGCAAATCAAGCGCGCTGCGCGCTGCCCGCGGCGCTGCCCGCCTTCGGGATCGAGTAGGAGATGGGGAACATCACCTGGTTTGGGTTTCGCGCGCGCGCGGAATGACGGCGAATTCCACGGGGAGTGTATAAATCAGTCTGCATCGGTCACTGACAGGAAGTGGCCCAGCCATTCCTCTTCGAGCAAAGAAGCGATGTCGTCGCGGAAGACATAGAAGCTCGCAAGGTCTTCATCGACATCCTGATGGGTTAAGCATGGTTAAGCTAAGCTGGCTGGTGCCGAACAAGACGGATGGTTTCCTACAAAGATCTGCTGGACCTGGATATATCTGTTTTCAGTGTTCAATCGACTGTGAACGAGACATGCCACAACATGATACGGGCAGAAAAAAACACAATGTGACACGCAGAGTTGGAGCATAATCTTCACGATGCAAGAGGCAAGTTGTGGACATCACCCCAGTCAATGCACCCTTGTCCGTGCCCAAGAACACAGGGGATGGAATCCAAGCCCCAACAAATGTGCCAAAAATGCTCATGCGTCGAACATGCGTTGAATCCATCGGAACATGTCACTACATCACCAGCTTTGAGAGGTTTGTGTGGCATGGATGATCCACGTGATAGGTACACGTGGATCCATACCGTTGCTTTCCCATAGGTTTCATGCTGGGACCGATGGTCGTTTCACTGAATGTGCTCTTGACTGATTCAGCTTCCGGCTTGGACACACACCTCCTCTCCATCTCCACCATTCTCCACCATTCTCCACCTCTGCGCCCACACCACAGCACGTGCTTTCCACCACACGGGATCCCTTGATTCCAGGCACTGCTTGTGGCAGGATCACATCGGTCGGCAAGCGGCCATAGGGCTTCTTCGTTGAAGACCTACGTAACACCGGGCGACGCCGTGGAGCAATCGCAGTGGAGGGCGGAATTGGAGGGTTGGCTCCGGAAGCGAAATCGAGGGTGAATTCAGCACGGTACCAACAAGCCTGGAAATTCTGGTTTATTGCTTTTGGGGGGTGTGCTTTGGCGTGCTGTCATGTGCTGTCTGCGGTTCTGGGAGGTTCTTGAGAAAAAGGACCTGGAACAACTTGGCCAATTTGCACTGCCTCCTGAACGACCACAAGTGCTTTTTGGCAGCAACCGTGCGAGCCAACGGATGGAATCCTCTGGTTTTGGGGGAACAGGCCATCAGGCCATCAAAAACATCCTTAAAAAGCAACCATCGGCCCTGTCAATTCAATTGGAATCTGGTGGCTTTAGGATTGGTGTCTTCTGAAGTTCACCAATGGTCTTGCAAGTGGTGAATGATAACACCAGTCTTGGTAGACTGTGGAACACATGAAGTCAACACCAAAAACAATTCCCCTTAAACACAAATTATTATACTTCCCCTAATACATCTCATTTCTACCACAATCGCTGAAAAGCGATCGGGGTGGGTAGATGGTTTGCGCGCCAACGTAAGACCGCTGGCTTAGCGCTGGCCAGGCTGGCCCCAAAGCCCTGATACTTCCTCCTCGAGCGGTGGATTGAGTCCGGACGGACTGGCGAGTTTGCAAAGAACCGATGTCCAAACAGTTCGTATATATGACATGGGTGGGGCCTTAGATACCCCCCCTTTTCCTTAAGGTACCCCCCATGTTCTGACACTATGAGTGCCAAAAACATTGCGATGTGGTTGTTCTACTTCACCTCCTCTCCTCGCCCATTTCGCACCTGGGCGGTGCCATGGCCACGCGTGGGCTTCCAACCACGGCACGGTGCCGCGATGGCGGGCGCGCATGGCACGCCACGGGCGAACGGCATGGGTTTTCCTGTCCAAGTCTTGGACTTTTTGAGGGCCTGTCCTTTCTGCCATGGCTAGGGCAGCTAGGGTGGGTTTGGGGTGTTGAATGGTGTTTTGCTAAGTACTTTCTAAGTAATTGTCATGTGATCAGCCCTTCTCTATGTCCATGGGCTCTGGACATTGATACATCCAGCTTGTTGTTTGGCTTGAACAGTGCTGCCGTAGAAGCTGGCTCAAGAATTCCAACCCATCAATTGGTGTTGTTTGGCCTCAAGGCCGAGCTTCTGAAGCTTCCAAACTTGGCTTCCACCCAACGGTGTTGCTTTCGATGTCTGTCGCCCATGATCGAGGGCCAAAACGAGCCAGAGATGTCTGAGGTGCGGAGCAAAGGTCCCGGGCCCATGTTTGACCTCTCTTCTTTTGTTTGGAAGACCAAATACCTACTCAGCTTCGATCTTTGGCTTGGAGTCTTGGAGGCCCCTTTTTTCGCAGCTGCGAACGGTAAAGACCATGAAAACGAAAACAATGGCATTTGGAATCCCAGGAAAGCGCTTTGAAGGATCTGCCGGGCTGCTTGAAGGATCAGCGGTGCCTGGCTTCTAAGTGAATCCAAACAGCTCAAAGGTGCCAGTAGAGTCATCCAGAATCTCAGAATCTGAGACACACCAGGATTTACTGTCTACAGTCTTGTCTACTGTACTTGTATATTAGGGATTGCTTGATTGGTGCAATTGGCACTTGAAAGCCATCACCCGAACGGAATCACTACAAGCCATCAGCTTCAGGGGTAGGAAAGCCGGAAATGCCAGAAAGCAGAGCGACAAGATTCCGCAACGGGTTCGTGAAGAGTTGATAGGTGAGCGTAGCTATACGTCTTTGGTTCTGACATGTTCTGACTGTACGGGCGACACCCCCCGGAATGGCTATTCTGTAGAGCCAGGTCGGCAGTCGGCAGCTCAAAGGAGCATCTAAATATGTTCCCAAAGCATGCAGTTGGCCAACCAGTAGCACATGAAGCTCAACTATGTCTAGCATCTTTCCATAGCACACCTGCATGCATCCAACTACCAACAAAAACTCTACACACATCTAATTACATATCCTGACTCACTCCCGCTCCCTCAGTTTCCCTGCAAAAAAACCGGTTGCAGCTTATCCACTGTTTTTTCCGCCTGTTTTCGTTTAGTTGGGCGTCCCCAGTTCTCCCAATTCCCCACAAAAAGGTCTCCCGCGTCCCACTCCTCCCATCGCCCCACGCCGCGCCTACACGTCACAGCTGGACACCCACCGGCCTGCGGAGCGAGTGCTTCGTGCGGAGCTTCGTGCGTGTGGTTTTTCCGTCCGGGACTGGCCGGATGCTGGTGGAATCGACCCACACACTTCACATGAAGATGGCCAGATTTCCTCGGATCGGGCCCAATCATCCCCAAGGGCCCAGGGTTCCAACAAAAAATTCAGGGGTCGGAGTCAATTCGAGTCGAGGCCAAGGCTTCACGCCCGCTTTCTTGGGGGGCAAGCTTCCAGTGGCGTTACCGGAGCGAGAGTCTCTGTTTTTAGAGGTGACTGACTTGGGGGTCCCAATCCTTTTGAACTGTATCCCCAAAAAGGATGATGAATGATGGATCCACTGCCACCTTCTGAGGTACGGTGATTGGAGACATTATAGTCGTATGTATCGACTATGCAGACTATGCGCCTGGGTCGAACCGCCGTACCGCACCGGCAGTGGGTCCTTCGGAAGGCCAATAGGTGGGCGGTATCCCATATCCATCCGATCGGCACAGTTGCCCCCATTCGATATTGACACTTGCGAGAGCGGATTCCGAAGTGTAGGAACAGGGATCGACCGAATTGATGCCTGTCTCTGCCAAATGGCCAACGGGCACCACTCTGTTTCGTCGAGCTCCATCATCACCGGAATTTCCTCGGCGTTCCTCCCGCTAGGCTATTTATGTGATGACACACCCGGTGACTCAATCCATGTATAAGCCATACATGGGTGGTCTGGGATAACATGTCATAAGCAGCTTAGGTGTGTTTTCTTTTAGCTCCCAGTAGCTCCGAATCACTCTTGATTGAATGACGGTGAGCCCAAGGGAGAGCGGAAGGTGCAAAACTCAGTGCCGGAGAGTTTGCGACAGACCCTCAATGGCGACAGCAAAGGTTTTAGTAAATTTTAGCCGTCCGAGCGCTACACCGCTGTCTAATCATCCTGGAATATCGTGGTGGAACATGGAAGAGTGCAACACACAATCGAAAGCAACATCATGTTTTGGAGCGGTTCATTTGACTATATCCTCTCCAGGACGGTCGTATCTATATATAATATATATATATATATCGGATCTGAGAAAGCCTCCATGTGAGTTTTTTTTTTTTTTTTTTTTTTTCGGAGCCGTGTTGCCAAGGGGTTTGACTGTCGCAATACTGCCCGCATCTGATCGAATTCCTCCTGCAGAAGCTGCGCTAGGCCCAGGTGTTCCGAGCTTCTTTGAGCGCTTCATGACTCTGCACTGGTCCAGAAATCCTCGCTTTTAAGGTTATACGATTCATCGATCTTAAATTGAATTTACAGATGTTGATATATATTGCATGCTATGCGTCTTGTCAGCTTTCGACTGTGCAACCTTCTCAATCCCAGCAGTTCCTCAGACTAAAGTGGGTGAGAACACCTTGGTGAAACGACTGGAAGCCGAGCTCCTGAACCAGAGAGGTCCTAAACGAGGTCCTAAACAACAAAGAGGATGCCAACAATATGACATGCTTCTCATCCATCTCTGTCAGACCATGGGCAGGTCTTCTGCTTTTTCCTTCTCAGGAATGCTTCCTCCTTCCGGACTCGAAGTCGCTTTGCGGCGCGCACCGCGCGCGCAGCGCCGAAGGCAGCGCGGCTTTCCGAAGACCAAGCGAACAAAGTGAGGTCCCACGTAGGGGATCTGTGCCGTGCTTGCAGGTCCCATGATTGAAATGGCCAGCAGCAGGGGGCAATACCTGAAGCCAAGCCGGAGTTGCTATGCCAGCGACTGGCCACTAGTGACGCCCTAAGGACGGGAGTTAGACATATCTCCATTCATCTCCCACGTCTTAGGCCCCGATAGACATGGTCTCGTTTGCGAGAACAACACGCTGAATGAATCAGGCCTAAGGGTAGCTTAACTTTGACAAGTCTCAACAACCAATGAGCATTAGATATGTAGCCCAAAGGGTTTGTTGCTCCACATCTTTCTTGTTGAAGGCTCTTCTCTAACGTTTAGACAGATCGGTTCCAAGTTCAGCTCCGGCGATTCCATAAGAAGCCGAGTGGCACAAGCACGGACACGGTGTGGAACCATCGATTGTTGCTACCGCCCAGGGCATGTACAGGCCAAAGGACCAACCAAAGAGACTGAACGCGTGCTGCGAAGGCTTTCCGATCGTCCGGCAAAACAATAAACAGAGCCAGGAAGACCACGGCTTCATAGGTGGAAATGATGATCAACAGGCCTTGGAACCAATGTCCGTACTCGATCCTTGGATTGGCTCCCAGGAACCTGGAAAATATCACACACCTTCCCCAGCGGTCAACGGTTATTTAACCCATAAAAAATCGCTTGATCCGCTGATCGCCAGGAATCCCAAAGACTAAATGTCCATACTTGAGCAGGATGAAAGGCCTAAAGCCCGGGAATGCAATGAACGTGGCCGAAAGAATGGCGCGACTCCAGTGGGACGCATCCGTCAAAGTTCCAGTGCGTTCGGCCGTCGCTCGAAGCTCAGGTGTGGAGAGGTTCATCTTCATGAGCACTTTCACGGCTTCTTCAACATCCTTCCTGGCAGTTCAAAACAACAGATCTTGGGCCACTACCCTGGAAGAAGCCGGTCCCTAGCCTTCCAAGACCATTAAAGGAAAGGTTGACCTAGTTCTGTAGTTCATAATCCTTTATACTGTATAGTAAACCAGTTTGTCCGTTAAAACCCATTCAAGCAGTGGCGCTTGGAATCCTACAGAGGTGGCTTTCCTGTCTTGAGCTCCCATCTGTCCGAAGGGGTGGCAGCCACATCGTGAAAGACGTACCACCCACCGTCGCACAAAAAAGCAACCGCGGTTTTCCGTGGTCTTCCTCAGCCTTCTATGCTGCTAGGACCATCACCATCCATGGAAGTCCTCACGTTCGCTAGGGGGAAACATATATCCATGGTTCGAGTACAGTGAATGCCTCTAGGGGCAGAGTTTGAAGGTCTAGGGGTAGACAAGTTCAGACTCAAAAGACTCCTTTCAAAAAGCTCACAGACCACGATGGACACGCAAGATCTTGTTAAACGGATTCAAAGCTGCCAAATACCGAGGGATGGCATCTTCCCCAATGGTTGAACTTGCAATCTAATAGCATTCTTCATGACCAGGTGAATCTCATAATTGCGGACTTTTGATCTACAACAACTTCCTCAACATCTTGTCGAGCAGCAGTCTCAAAGAAGGGGTGCTTATTGGAGGGCAGGGAGTGCCCAAACATCCACTCACGCAAGGGGACCGGAACAAAAACACCTCGGGCATGTAAAACTCCTGTCATGAAGGGATTTGTCTCTATAATTCCCCACCTGCCAGGTGAGGGTTGTTAGGTTTTATCTCACAGGGTCATCAGGGTGGGGATCACTCGAGATAGGTAGAGTAATTTCTCTTCTTAGGCCCCAGCTTCTCATGTCCACTCTTCTTCACTTGCTCCAGGATCTTCCGCCGATCCGCCTCCGTGGAGCAGTCAGCATCCGACAGGCGCCCGGTGAAGCCACGGCGGAGGTTCAGGGCGGCCGCATCGGCCGACACGGAGTTCAGGCGGTCGAGCTCCTAAACGTACGGTCTAGGCACGGTCTTCAGGCGTGGCGACGGGCAGCGCGAATGGGGCAGGTCACCTATAGGGCACTAGTAGTAGCTAGAAGATCGCTCAACATCGAACTTGGCAACATTGACCGTCCCATGGATGGGTGGTTTGAAAGTGTAGGAACATATAATTCCATGGAACGTCCATTGTTGCGCCTGTATACTATATAGATCTAGAAAAGTAGATAGATGTAGCTATAGTATGCATAGTTATTTGAAGATATTTAAGCGTTCAATGAAGATTACATATTCCAGCGAGGACCATCCTGGGACCGGGCTCTCTCCTCCAGTTGGACATCCTGCCGGATGCTCTAAGCTTATGCATGTGGGGTTTTGATTTCCAACCAATGCGGGGTAGTTCAGACATATACCATGAATTAGCAGTCCCCTCTACAGGATCTCCACTTCAGAAGGTCGATGCACACTTTCAGTAGGTCGATGCACATGGAAGTGGAAGGTGGCCGCACTTAAATCCCCTGGAAGACTTGAGGGAAGATCCACTTCCATCGTGTTGGCCGATTCCCCATTCCACCGGTTTCAACGAACAAGATCAGCGTCCATCCCAAGGGTGCCGAAGAAGCCCAAGGAGATGTACTGCAGGGCGAAAAGCCAATTGTGCTCGAACAACGCCCGGCCGGTGATGATTGCACAACCATAGCCCACATTGGCCGTGAGGGTCACCCCGAGCACTCCCAAGTTCTGCAGAAGGGGCTTGTAGCCACCTCATCCGTGGCGCTCGACCCGCCAAAACCCCCCAGATCCCAAAGAAGCCGAGTTGGAAAGTTGACTTGCTTGGGCTTAGTCGCCACAACGGCCAAAGGAGAGGAGGAAAAGCACCATAAATGGAACTGGCACCAGGATGGTGAATGGCACGGACAGCATCACCGCAAACCTCAATGGCAGCAGCAAAGCAGCGGAGAGACTTGCCTGACTGATGCCGACAATTCGCAGAAGGTAAGCCCAGGTATTGATATCCTCGGAGAACTGTTCAAGGCATTTCAAGGCTCAAAGCACTGTTCTCTCCGGCCATACCCGGCGGAGCTCTTCCCAAACGCGACCAGGGTGCTTGAAAAGGGGGTCAAACTCTAGGGCTCTAGGACTCCAAGATTCTTTGATCGTCTCTGCCAATCAACCCTTGTTTTACGAAGGATTTCAGACTAAACCAGGTCAGTCGAACTCTTTTCATGGCCGAACTGAAGGCCAACGTCCGATCGCTCAGTTTTCCAGGGGACCTTCGAGGCCGAACCGTGAGTCCGGTGATGTTCGTCGGCGTGACCGCCACCTGACCCATCCGTGGGTGGTCCACCGTCTGGTGGTACATCATCCATTGGGGTAACGCGGAAGATGGTGACAAATTCTGGATGACCAGGACATGAAAGAAGACCAAACTGGTAGCTGTTTCACATCCACTCGCCAAGCTGACGCTGGGAATCGCTGCTTGCCCGACAAACACATGCAAGAGCAGAACCTATCGATTTATGGTGCCGGGATCTGTCAGGACTTGGCATTAGTGCAATTGCTTCAACTCTCATGAATGTCTCGAATCGAACGTCGTAGCCAGAAACTCTCTGACTGCTTGGCTAGCGCCCACAAAAGATACCCCCAAGCTGACTAGCAACACTCGGGTTGAAACATGCAACCACGCAAACTAAACATGTTCTTAAAGCTTGAGATAAGCCTCGCATGATGTTGCATTGGTGATGGGCTTGTTCGAAGTATAAGCCAGAAACGCCTCATAAACGCACCAAAGCCTGGAGTAGATGCTACATGTGCGATTTGGGACTGCAAGGACATGCTTGCAGGAGCCCAAAGCCTTGGCAAAGGGAGATTCCTCAGGTGTAGAAATCAAATGGGCAATGTCCAGGTTCTGCGGATTCGATAAGAAGCACACATAGGCTGCTCGTCCACCAGGTGGCCAGGTTTCAACCACCTTGTCCACGAATTCATAAATACCTTCAGCCCAAGCATGCGTGATGAAAACGTCGCACGGTAAGCCATCGGGATTCTTCATCAAAGCCTCACAGATTGAATTTGAAACAAAGAAGCCTTGTTCATGACTGGTGGCCCGGGGCGGTGGGAGCCTTTTTGGCAGCAAAGCCCAGGCCGTGAAGTCGCAACATATCCTGGTCGCTACAGCTAGCTGTCATGACAAAGTGCTTGATCTAATTTTAAGGCTTCTGTGAAGGTTGGACACATGCTGGAACAACTACCCCCAAACAATCCCCAAACATCCTGATCCACTACACTCCTCAGGAACCACACTTATATAAAAGATCTTGAAAGTATCTTGTTTTTAAAGAAGGCCCATGGCTGGAAGTTGGAACATGGTGGAACTAGCCCCCTAACTGTCCTTACTACAGTTCCTGAAACAACCACGGAAGTGAAAAGCCACTGGTTTGCAGATCAACATGGTCATACAGTGGGGCCATGTTCCACTTCCATGATGATTTCAGGGAGTGGTAGACCTAGCAATCTACTCTGTCTTCAAGAACCCATCTTTTCAGGTCTGAGACACCCAGCTCACATTTCCAGCTGCGGCCGTCACTGGCTTGATGTATTGCTCGGTGACGGTATACATGGAAGGGCCGATGGTCTGGTCTTTGGGGTCGAAGGCGTCCCTCCTGAGGGGCGGAGGGCGTCCCTCCAGGTTGGACGAACGGATCTTCTTCTTAAGGCCTTTACCCAGGCCTTCGTCTTTAGGGGGTGTAATAGTAAATCTCCTATGAACCAGTTTGGGACTCAGGGTCTAAGAGTATACGTATACCCAGGGGAGGTAAAGTTGGTCAACAAATTCAACTCACTTGGCTTTCCACAAAAGCCTTCACCTTGGTAGGATTAGGTGTAAAGCTGAACTGGATCGGCCAGAAATGGTCCGGTCCAATGGTCTCAACTTGAAATGCTTTCAACACAGGTGCAATGCTGCATGCTCCAAAAAGGAACTCTGAGCTGCAGCCTTTTCCTGCGCAGAAAGCGGCCCCCCACTTGGCCCTCACCAGTACACTGAGCTGGGTGTTTTGTTCGCCGAGGCTCTCGGTCGGTTTGATGCGGCCGTGGGTGACTGCCTGACCCACCAATCGCTTGAACTGCTTGAGATCCGCCAGGCTAACGCACCAGCGTTCAATTGGAACTTCTGCCTTGGTTTGAACAGAAAAGGTGGGAGGTGCAACAAGGATCGAGTGTAGCGCAACAACTGTCGAAAGAAGTGGGGGTGGTGTTTGATGAGAAAAACACTCGATTTGACCAGGGAAACCAACATTCCCCTAGAAAGCTTGAAGGTTCTCCACTTTTCCTGGGTAGGGTCTTTGAACATCTTCTGTTCAGCTCAAGCTGCGTGTAACTGGGCACCATCATGGACCTGGGGTGAAGCTTCAATCTCAGAGTCCCCTGGCTCGATCCGCGAGGCCTTCCGTTGCCTCTTGTGAATCACCCAGGTCGTGAGCACAATGCACATCCTCCGGGTTAGTCAGGGAGATCAGACTTGAGAAAGGACCGGGTGCACCAGGTGCATCCACTAGCATGCGACCCCAGGGACCTCGAAACAAATCTCGATGAAAAGAAGGATGAAACTGGTTTAATTCAAAGGCTAGATTCAGAGACTGTGACAAGAACACCTGCGCGAAGGTTCTGATTGAAGCTGCTTGCGGGCCACATGCAATGATGCCATGCCCTGGGCAACATCCGAAGTGAACTCCTTGCTCTGTCAAGCCATCAATCTGTGGGAAATGGCCTTCGGCACACTGACAATGCTCGTGGGAGCTAGTCCTTACTCGATGAATCACTTGGTGGCACACATAAATAACACACATAAGCAACTCACAATGACGACTATACAGTAACTATATATGTATGTTAGTTTCACTCCAAAGAACGCACCAAAACCTGAAACCGCCCGGATCCTCACAAAACTGGTCCGAGGATCTGGCATTGAGACTCCGGATCCTGACAGAAGTCCGTGCGAAATCCTTGACATTTGCTTCCCCAGCAAGGCAGGAAGAAGGACCAGAAGGACCAGAAGGCCCACGGCGCGGTCCTCATGGTCGCACAACATCGGCGCACAACGATGGTCGCATCCGGGATGGCGGCAATGGCGATGGGAAGCCAAGAAGTGGATGGCTGAAAACGGCCAAGGACAAGAAAAAGTGACATCTCTACCATCTTTGTGGTATCTAACTTCTATAAATCTATTCTGATCGATGCAAATCTGTGAGAAAGTGCCTGCCCTCTTCACCCTGATATCGTGACCCCTCTTGCACACTCTGAACTTCAGCCATGAAGCCGCCTTTCTGTACCCAACGAGCCCGCAAGCGACCTCTGTTTTGATACGGAAGTTGGGCCATATGATGGGTGGTTGATGCTCCAAAACAAAGGTCACATAAAGGCACCAGGTCGTTGACGCCGCTGACGCCGCACAAACTGAGAAGCCATAAAACTTCCCCCTGCGCAGCTCAAATCATTGGGAGAATCTGACTTGACAGGTCGATCTTGAATCCGAACACGGCCCACGTACATTGCAGCTGTTTCTTAGATAAGTCCTGCCTTCAGTGGCAAGATCTCTATACTGGGCGGGTAGCTGGACTAGTGACCCAAGGTCCTGATCACAGGCATTTGGCAGGCTAGCATATTTCTAGGAAAATCCCGACTTGACCTGACCTGCCCAAGGCTTCCTGTCTTCGAATTCCAACCCACTTATGGAACAGCCTTCAACAGTTGATGCCACACCGTGGATCACTGACATGAATTCCAGCGAGTCGGCTGTTGGCCTTTTTTCTGACACATCGAATTCCAGCTTCCTTCGAATGCCTTGGCTTCTTTGAGCCATCGACCCTGCACACTGTACATAGTCATGTATAGACTCCAAGCATGCACTTTCTGGGCGGCAATCAGCTTGTTCAACTGACCAAGCTCAAACTTGATAAAGACACTTGTTTGTGACCAACAGAAAGGTACTTTCTGACCTTTCTGTTTTTAAACTTAAACAAATTCTTTTGCCTTTGAGCTCAAATATGCTCAAGCACTGGAAATCGACGCGGTGCTGTCAAAACCTCCACTTCTCCGAAAAACCATAGAAATACAATGGCAATGGAGTTTTTTGGTTGGTCTGCGCCGTCTGACGTTTCCTCGCACAGCACCCGAACCTCTTGAGGCACAGCGGTTTGCCAAAGACCAAGCGGACCAATCGTGGCCCCAAGAACGGAATCCGCGCCATCTTGGCAGGCCCCATGATTGACATGGCCAGCAGCAGTAAGGGATAGACAACCAACACCACGTAATACAAAGGATGCCCATGACCATCCAAGCCGTTTCCATCCGTAAAGAGAAAGATTTTGGCAGGAAACAGCAGCAACCAAAGAGACTGCACTCGTGCAGCAAAGGCTTTCCGGTCTGGAGGTAGGACCATGAAAAGGTATGCAAAAGCCAGCGCCTCTACTGCCGAGATGATGATCAACAGGTAATGGAGAAAGGATCCGTATTCCATCCCAAGCACGTAGTGTCCATACTTAAGCAGTACGAAAGGAGTTTGGCCTGGGAATGCAATGAAAGCCACAGCAAGAATGGCACGACTCCAGTGGGAAGCATCTGTCAGAGTTCCGGTTCTTTCAACAGTAGCCCTGAGCTCAGGTGTTGAGATGTTCATCTTCATCAGCACTTTCACGGCTTCTTCAACATCCTTCCTGGCTATTCAATCAACGGAACACACACACAAAAAAAAAGAAACGTTAATTCCTCCCCAAGCCATTCTGAACTGAGACCAAATGGGTACTGTAAGTTAAAACAAAGTCAAAAAACGCACTGAAGCGGAAAAAAATGTCAACACTGTATTCAGAAACGGCCACATTTACATGTGCATACTATTTTGTGATCCTTATCACAGTGCCACTCCTGAAGGCAACGGCAAACTCTGCACAATCGGACCTTCCGCAACCAGCAAGATGTCCATCCATTGGGCATATCCCACTACCAATCACTGGATGATGATGGATATTTTGCAGGCCTTTCTCTGTCTCTAAAATAGATACAGTATATATATAGTATATATAATATATATATATATCAGTTATATATCAGTATATATCAGTGTATGATATTTCTTTAGCGCCTGCATATTGCACCATCCATGTTGCCGATGCCTTGAGCTCAACTGGTTTCCAGCTGAGTCCGGAGTAGCTCTCTTGTGTAGCTCAACGGCCACAAGACCCAGCACCCCGCCACTGCACACACACACACACATACGAGATAAGACCGATCAAAAGCACAAACACATGGTAGAACCGGTAAAAGCTGGGTCTTTCGCGCCACCGCCAAAAGAACAGGAGACGTGATTTGACGGCATGCTTGGGACAAGAGTCTCATGGCCGCTCCTTTTCACTTCCTCCAGGATCTTCAGCTTGTCAGCTTCCACTGAACAACCTGCATCCGACAAACGTCCACTGAAGCCTCGGCGAAGGTCTTCAGCCGCCTCATCTGCCATCACAGAGTGCAGCCGGTCCAACTCCTGGATACCAATAGCCACGGATTGGGTACTTTAGATCTTTGGGTGGTCTATGAAGGGCCAAGCTTTAACCTCCAAGGAAACATCAAACAACACGTCCCTTGCTCTCCATCGCAATGGTTCCAACCAGACCCATGGAGACGTACTCCAGTGCGAAGAGCCAGTTTTCCTCGAACAAGACATAACCCATGGTCACTTTACCAGCGTAGCTCACATTGCACACTACAGTGAGGCCAATCACTGCAAACTTTTGCAAATGATATTTGTATCCACCTCACATGCGAAGGAGAGTCTCGGCTGAAGGGATTGGACGGGCTTGGAGGCTTGGAACTTCCGATTCTTGGTTCGGGCAAGCGCCACGACGGGTTTTTTTAAGTCTGTCTAAAAAGGTTGGCTTTTACAAGGCTAGCCACCACACTGACCCAAGGACAATGAGAGGAGGAACAAAAACATGAACGGGATGGTCAGGATGGTGACCGGTAAGATGCATTTCCTCATAAATGCCAGTGGCAACAGCAAACCTGCGGCAAAGCTCCCATGGGTGATGAAGGCCATCCGAAGCAAGTAGGCCCTGGCATTGAAATCCTTGGAGAAACCAAAGCCGCAACACAAAGTACAGTATAGTGGACAAGTGGACAGCAGCTGAGTATAGTATTAGTATATTGCAGCTCTTCAAGTACATGGAGCAGCTCAAAACGAAGCAAACAAACGCACATTCAAGAATGAGCTTCACATGATTTTGCATTGGTGATGGGCTTGTTCCAAGAGTAAGCCAGAAACGCCTCATAAACGCACCAAAGCCTTGAGTAGATGCTGAATGTGCGATTTGGGACTGCAAGGACGTGCTTGCAGGAGTCCAAAGCCTTCGCAAATGGAGATTCCTCAGGTGTAGAAATCAAATCGCAAATGTCCAAGTTCTGCGGATTCGATAAGAAGCACACATAGGCTGCTCGTCCACCAGGTGGCCAGGTTTCAACCACCTTGTCCACGAATTCATAAATACCTTCAGCCCAAGCATGCGTGATGAAAACGTCGCACGGTAAGCCATCGGGATTCTTCATCAACGCCTCAGTTGGGCAGCTTGGGCAGCCTAAGCAACAAACCTACTCAGGCCAGCAGTCACAAAGGGGTGCTTAATGAAGGTTAGGGGTGCCCATTATCCACTCACTTGGGGACTACACACCATCCCTTTGGGCCGTCCGTCTTTTTGGGCATTCTAGTTGGTGTCGTGTGAGGGTGGATGCTGGAGGTGTCCGCTGGACATGGCGGGCGAGGGGCTGCACCGTGTAATTAGGCTGGCACGATTTTCTCCACTGACATCCTTTGACTAGGCATGCTTCTTGAATGCCTCTCACACCTACTCCACAAAAATAAATCAAACAAATATATAACACATTTTGGTCAGCTGAGACACCCAACTGACATTTCCAGCAGCGGCGGTCACTGGCTTAATGTATTGCTCGGTGACGGTATACATCGAGGGACCAAAGGTATAGTCTTTAGGGTCAAAAGGGTCCATCCTGCAGTCTTGCAGTACCGACAGCGACTCGCACTTCAATAGGAGGTAGTGCCAAATTTCACGAAAATCATACGACTTTCTTAAACGAACACCCTGGAAGGCACTTCTAAAAGGCAGGATGCATGAATTGATAATGTTCGTTGGATCGCCTGGCAAGTGCTTCAGTTAAAATCTTATTGAAAGAACCTGGAGCCTGAGTGACCTCTACTTCGGACAACCAACGACCGAAACGTGGTCTTTTCTTGTCAAAACACAGGTCACTCAGGCTCAAGTATGTGTACACTGTGTACCTCATCGTTTTTCCACCTAGAAAGAATAATATTTTTCTGATTTTGGAAATGGGGAGGTGGCAAAATCCATCATTCCAAATTCCAAACACAGTATTGGAACAACATACCCGCGCTGCATGGCGCTTCCTGTCGGGGTGTCCGGTTTATAAGACCTTTTTCAGTGTGTAGGTTGCTCCGGGCAGGTGACCTGCAAACAGCTAGCTAGGCGCTTCAAACGTTCGTATCTTCCATTAGCCAAAGGCAACAAACATCTAGCCAACGGCGGGAATCAAACAAAGGGCATCGCTACCAGGAGCCGGACGCTACTAGTAGCTCCTGGCCGTACTACTGGTAACAAGAAGCTAGACTAGTAGCAAAGGGCACCGATACTAGGACCAAGGACGCTACTAGTAGCTCCTAGCCTGAATTACTACTACAGGTTACAGTAGTAACAAAAAACTACTAGGAACAAAGGGCATCGCTACTAGGGGCAAGGACGCTACTAGTAGCTCCTGGCCTTACTACTAGTATCAAGAAGCTACTAGGAACAAAGGGCATCACTACTAGGAACAAGGACGCTACTAGTAGCTCCTAGACTTAATTACTACTAGTAATAAGAAACTACTAGGAACAAAGGGCATCTACTAGGGGCAAGGACGCTACTAGTAGTTCCTGGCCTTACGACTAGTAACAAGAAACTAATTACTACCAGGAGCAAGTACGCTACTAGTAGCTCCGGGCCTTGCTACTAGTAACAAGAAACTACTCGGAACAAAGGGCATGAACCATGAACCTTTGAACACCTGGGTGCGAGCCTTTGAGCAGATCATTTCAACCCTTTCGTCCCTGGCCTGGTTTGTGCTCTTTGCGTCCTCACAAAAGGAGGCGCTCCAGATTCTAGATTGTTGGGTGTCATGTTGTTTTTTTCAGGTGGTCCACTATTCCTGGATAGGCTTCAGTAGGGAGGGGTGCAGCCATCACGCTTCTTCTTCTACGGTTCCCTGCGCCTCCCCAGAAGCTATAAATTAGACCCTAGGCCCTCTGATAGCCCACCCCCTCTTACCTTCTTCTCAAAGAGAAGTGGGTGCCCTAGGCCTTCAACAGCCGGATCTAGGGTTTCTCTTTTTCCAAAAAACTGCAAGCGAGTTCACAAATATACAGAGTTGCCTGCAAAAAACAGTTTGTAAACTAGGTCTTGATAGTTTGTCCACCATTTCTGAACTAGCCGTTCTTTTTTTCCTGTGGCTGTCCCTTCTTCAAAGTTCTCCATTCCGCGAATCCTGCGCTGTGCTGATTTACTCCTCCTCTTCAATGCCCTTGCCTGTTGCTCTCCCTTTGATGAGCTGCTCTCTTTTTACAGCCCTTCCATCCTTGACTAGCGCCTCTCTCTCTCTCTCTAAATAACTGTCGTAGTCTTGAGGAACTTCCTGCTTTTGGCTGCCAGCGCTCAACAACCTTCGTGGTTAACACAACATTGGAACTTGAACTTGTCCAGACAACATTATGAACACTACCTGGTTAAGACATCGAGTAGCCAAAAAACACTACAAACACGAGTTCATCGAGTAGGTAAAAACGTTCATGAATTGCGGTTGCTCTTGCTTGCGGCCGAAAAGAAGACTCAACAGGCACAAGCAATTTCTTGCATGATGATATGTGATATGTGTTATGCAAGTCTGCAAATCAATGTCATTTTACATTCGGAAAGGTACAAAGGCGGCAAAGGACAAAGCTTGGGTTCCTGAAACAAAGCTCGTAGCACAGGCATGACAAAGCACTCCAAATTGGTAGGTTTTGTGAGGTGGGGGGTAGTACCCAAAAACATGTTGTGATAAATGTAAACTGTGAATGTCACTCCATGACATGCTGGTAGGTGGTTCCGGATCGATCTCTCATGCCCGTTGGCACTTGGCTCCTTTCGTCGCGGTCCCCTGTTCCTCCTAAGATGGGAGGGTTTATGTCGATTCGAACTTCGAGAGCCATGACTACCTTGGCGTGAAAAGAGCGCGCCTACCGGACACGTGTTGGAACAGCACTTCGTGTGGTTGTTTCAGATTGGTTGCAGTTGTTGCTACCTTCAACTAAACATATTAGATTATATATATATATGTATATATGATGCAAAGCCCAAGGCTCTCAGTAGGACAAATGCGACCCTCACTGACGGCTTGACCAACCAGTCGCTTGAACTGTTTGAGATCATCCAGGCTAACACACCAGCGGTCCATTGGAACTTCTGCCTCGGCACGAGAGCAACACTTAACAAGTTGAAACACATATCCTTGCTTTGCGACCAGCCAGCCTAGAGGATAGAGCCATAAAGAAACTCAGCAAAGTTGAAAACAACTCTGACTTCGGCGGGTGAGGTGCGTGCAGCTTGGCGCCATCATGGACCAGTGGTGAGTTCTCAATGGCAGAATCCCCACACTTGATTTTTGAAAGTTGAGGTTGCCTGTAGTGAATCACCAAGGTGGTCAGCAAGATGCAAATCAAACATATTGATGAGCTGACCTCTGCAAAGGTTCGGATCGGTGCTTTTTGTGGGCCACATGCACTGATGCCGCGTCCAGGACAGCATCCGAAATGGACATCCTCTCCTTTCCAAGGAATACGGTCAAACTGTGGCCAATAGCCTTCGGCACACGGACACTCCTCAGAGGAGCTCATCCTTACTTGAATTCTTGGTAACAAATGTCCACCTACAAAACCCATATTTTTAGCACTTGAGCTCTAACTGCTAGAGTCTTCCGTTGCAGGTCGCAAACTTAAAATAGAAACTACTACATGGGAACCTTCCCGTACTACAGCCTTCCCTACAGGGAACTGCACCTTTTTATCCACGAGCCCACCTCCAATTGGAGAAAAACATAGAAAAAAAACGCACTCCAAGTTGAATTGAACACCCTTTATCGCAACAAAAAAGATAATTGGATCCTGCTGAACAGCTTGGTTGTTTGAACAATTTAGCATGTATCCCCAAGTGTCCGTGTCCCACCCACGTGTCAAAAACGTCTCCGACAGCCGAGGATCAAACATAGAGACCCTGGATCTTGGCATAGGTCTGTGCGAAATCCTGCGCATCTCTTTCCACTCGACCTCACCAAGAAGGAAACGAGGAAAAACCTGGCCAAAGTCATTCGCTTTGGAACTCGTGGTGTGACGGCTCCCACCTTTGGTGAAAGTCGAAAAAAAACAGCGCTCCCTCCTTGACTGTCCTTCGTTTCTTGAGCCAGGATGCGGGTGAAACTTCTCAAAAATTAAAGGACCGGAAAACCCCACATATGAATCTTTACGAATCTCAAGTTCAAAAGCACAAAGCAGTCAGAGTCTCAATAGCTTCTACAACATGGCCTTGTCAGGAATTATATCAGAATTACACAACAGAGGGGTGGGAGAGGTGTGAGAGAGTAATGTGCACGGCTGATGTACGAGGTATTGTGCAGACATGTGTGTACAGCCACAACTAGCGCTGTGCCTGCCACGAAATCTGCACATGGAGGTTCACAAAGTGCTGTGCTTGCCACGAAATCTGCACATGGAGGTTCACAAAGTGCTGTGCCTGCCACGAAATCTGCACATGGAGGTTCACAAACTGCTGCGCCTGCCACGAAATCTGCACATGGAGGTTCACAAAGCGCTGCGCCTGCCACGAAATCTGCACATGGAGGTTCACAAAGTGCTGCGCCTGCCACGAAATCTGCACATGGAGGTTCACAAAGTGCTGTGCTTGCAACGACATCTGCACGTCAAGAAACAGTGAACCTCTAATCACAATGATCACAATGGAGGGACGGACC